TTCTTATTTATAGGGATTGAAAACTGTCCACTTTAACCATAAGGTTATATATACGATTTATTTGTCTGTATTTGATTTATTTTTACCAAACAGAAAATCTTTGTATTATTGATAATCCCTGAAAACATTCCAGGGAATTTGTAAAATAATTCTTAAAATTTTCAGTGATTATGAAAAATCACTGATCATTTATAGGGATGACATATAATCACTAATGATTTTAGTCATTATGCAGAATCCCTGATTATACAAATTCACTGTAGTCTATACACTCGAATTTTGCAGTGAATAAATACCATAAACGGGTTTGGAACTCCGAAGTGAAAATATTTTTTACTAATTTGTCAATCTGCTGATTTGGTGATTTGAACGTTATCATTATAGAAAATATAAAACACAGATCTATGATTGAAATTGTCATTATAATTGTCATAAATACATTTACAACCATATAAAGTTTACTGATATAAGTAGTTAGTTTCAACATATTTAATTTGCTTAAATATGTAGCCCTTATGCATATGTAAGTATATACAATATGTTTAAACTAATTATCAGTAAACTGAATATGGTTGTAAATGTATTTTATTGTATTGTGCTAAAATGAAATGAAGAAACAATATACTTCACTGTGTCTTAGTATCCGCGGCAAATAGTATCTAATATCCAGTACGGTGACGGACCCCTACATACACGGAAAAGGTGGGGATTACTGTTTATGAATTTGTTATTTGCACGACGTTGTAGAATATAAATACAAATATTAATATTTTCGATTGTAAGATATAATATTTCCTACATCTGTTCTAGATTAATGGAGAAATAAGTAAAAATACACGGCAAAATGATACACAGAGTGAACCTTTTATCAAATTTCTATATTTCTTAATAAATTGGGCAATTGTATGGACAGAAACGTACGGAAAGAAGGATATATGCATGTACATAAAGATTGCAAGAATAGTCACTTTTCGCACCTTAATATATGTATTTAAATGCATGGAACGAAACAAATAGGTTACGTCAAAATAAATGCACCCGGTTTTGAATATGTAAACGATCCGGTTTCGTCCTCAGATTCCATAAAAGCAGGACACGGTTTCGTCATAAAGAATTAGGCATACTAGTATTTTGTAAATTAAAATCTGACGTTCAACAGGCGTTTAACGGCTTTTTGCATAGATTTCTTTATGAGGACAACTCTTTATTTTTCTGAATCCGTAAACAATTGAATTCCAATAAGGAACACAAATAATTTTGTTTTTTGCATTCTGTGGAAATGAATACTATAACGGCGAAATTCAAACAAACGAAGACAGTAACGTAATTTGATGCTCTAAGCCCTCGAACGTTTTCCGATATAAATTATGTAAAAGGGGTTTAAACTTGGATAGTGGACCGCATTGAAAAAAACAAACTTTCACCTCACTGCAAGTTTAAGACGGCTCTAGCACCAGCTTGAGTGGAATTCTTTGCAAAAATAATTTGGATAGACTTTGTAAGATGTAACACCACCAAATCAAATATGTAATAAAAAGTAAACCTTCATGTTCTACTTTAAGAGATAAATGGGGTCGAAATTTTAGACTTTTAGTCAAATTTCTGTTTCTTGAACATTTCTATCCTTTGGACAGACATACCTAACTTATTTGTTTCAAAAGATAAACACGAGCGGATTTTTGTAAAAAAAACATTTGGAATATCGTATTTTACACACATTTGATCTAATTTTATTATCGACGCTGGTATATAGTTCATTCCAGATTCGGTTTAGAATAACATAATTATATTGAATTTCTTTTGTCGGGAAATGTTCAGATCCGTGATTCTTGTATAAATGTGTGGTTTTAAAACAGAACAAATCCGAGTCCTGATGTTGTAAACAACATACTCAAAACTGGATCCTTCCATTTTGACATGATCATTATCATGCATAGAAATATAAATATTTCTTTACCTTTAATCAATATTTTAATAATCCTTGTAGTTATTCTTCTAATCTTTTTATGAACTTATTGTGAAGTTAAACCAAAAGGGCAGTGGGGCATAAAAAGTAGTTGGCAGTGACCTACTTTTGCTGCAATAACTTGATGCAAGTTGAGTATATTGTAATGTCTTGTCCTCGAAATGAGCTTCGCTGTGTAACTTACAGACAATTCACCATGATTTGGAAGAATTGCAATACCACACTTTTGATATAGACATATAGTGTGTATGTAGTTAACCTTCTTTTGATAAGCAATTCGGAACATTCAGACCAAAACATCTTCTTGTAAAATGGGAATCAATTCTGCGTTGTAATATAAATGGCTATTTAACGTCCAGTAGCAACATTCACATGCATATTCTGGATGAAAACAAATAATGTGATATGTATTAACCATATTTTGAACTAAACAGACATACCTATCAAGATTTTTAACATGCCACAAGGTAACAATTTTGCATGAAGACATATATCAATGTGGGGCCTACTCATATTCATTAAACCCCTAACGGGAGGGATTGTTCTTGATTTTCATATGATGAAGACATAATCTTTCAATCAGTTTGAGGTCTGGAGCTGGCATGTCAGTAACTGCTAGTAGTCCTTTGTTAATTTATGTATCATTGTCATTTTGTTTAGTTTCTTCTCTTACCTATTCTGACATCGGGCTCAGACTTCTTTTAAACTGAGTTTTACTGTGCGTATTGCTATGTTTTTCTTTAATCTGCATTGGCTAGGATATAGGGGAGGGTTGAGATCTCACTAAACATGTTAAACCCCGCCGCATTTTTGCGCCTGTCCCAAGTCAGGAGCCTCTGGTCTTTGTTAGTCTAGTATGTTTTTTTTAAATTTTAGTTTATTTATATGTTTCGGAGTTTAGTGTGATGTCCATTTTCACTGAACTTGTACACATTTTTATTTTGGGGCTTGCTGAAGCCCGCCTCCAGGTGCGAGATTTTCTCGCCGTGTTGAAGACCCATTGGTAGCCTTGGAGTGTTTTCTGCTCTTTTGTCGGGTTGTTGTCTCTTTGAAACATTCCCCATTTCCATTCTCAATTTTATTATAAAGATTGTCATAACTACATAAGATGAATTGGTGTTTAACTCCAGTGGCAAACATTACAGTTTGAGAACATGTTAATGCGATATGAATATGAAACTTGCTTTGTACTACACGAACATGCAAAGTTAGACTTTTAAATTTGCTTGTTAAAAAGTAACAGTCAGCAGGAAGACATGTCACCCAAACCCAAACAAATTACTCTAAATCCAAGCCAACTAATCTTTGTTCTTACTCTTAAATAATGCATGCCTACAAGGAAGTAGCAAATACCAATCTTCCAAGTCTTTGATTCTACCTGGCAAAGGATTGAACCCACAAAATCAGGCACTGGAGCAGAGCACCTTACCATAAGAACACAGAGTTGGTTCTTTGTTAAAGGAAGTCAACAACATTCAGTTACATTGAAAGGAAGTTTATTTTGATGATCAATAAATCCGTTTGAGATCTATCATACCTCAAAATTGAATTCTTAAAATACAAGTTTCCTAGGTGTTACACTAAATATAGTTAACCCTATTACTTATAGCAGCTGAGAAACAGATCTAACCAACAAAAATTTGAACCAATAATCCATGGAAAAAAGTCAAGGTCAGGTGAATCTACCAGACAGACATGTACACCTTACAATCATTCTGTACAAAAATTATAGTTGACCTATAGCTTAAAGTATCTGTGAAAACAGACTAAAACACAAAAACTTAACATTGACTAACGAACCATGAAGTCAACGACAATGGAGATATGACAGATGGAACCTTCGAAATGTATTGCATCTATATACAAAGTATGACCCATCAAGGTTTTCTAATTTCTATAATAAAGCTTTATACAAATAGTTTATGCCATCATGGTACTAGCATTCCCAATACCGTGATGGCATTAGATTTTTAGAATGTTTCAAAAGGCAAGACAAAAATCTAATTTTAATAATTTATTTTTCAAGATTATTTAATAGATCTCGAATGGACTAAATGATGCCTATTTGAATCAGTAATTACCAATTTTTAAAGGAGTTTGAATTCTTGTGGTCCTAATGTTGCAAAGATATATATAAACAAGCATTTTGAGAGTTTTGCATGGCAATACATAGTCCCCTACCGGTTAAGAATTCATTGTACTGGAACAAAATGCTAACTTAATCTATAACTTTGCATGGTGTTAACTATATAACAAATATCAAGTCAATATCTTCAAGCATGACATAAAAAAGTGTGGGAAACTGATTATTTGAGTGAATTTTCTAAGTCCAAGGACCATAACTCTGCACAAAATAACCAGACTGGAAAAAAATTTGAAATGGATCTGTAACTTGTCATGATAAAACTATATACCGATTATTAAATCAATATCTTCAAGCATGACACAAAAATTGCGGAAAACTGATTATTTAAGTGAATTTTCTAAGTCCAAGGACCATAACTCTGCACAAATCATCAGACCGGAACATAATTCAAACTTGATCTGTAACTTGGCATGATAAAAGTATATACCAAATTTCAAATCAATATCTTCAAGAACGAAGAAAAAAAGTGTGGAAAACTGATTTGCCGGACTGACGGATGGACAGACATACAGACGGACGGAGTGCAAACCTAAAGTCTCCTTCGACTTCATTGGTAGGGGACTAAAAACAAGAATGTGTCCATAGTACACAGATGACCCACTCGCACTATCATTTTCTATGTTCAGTGGACCGTGAAATTAGGGTCATAACTCAAATTTGGCATTAAAATTAGAAAGATCATATCATAAGGAACATGTGTACTAAGTTTCAAGTTGATTGGACTTCAACTTCATCAAAAACTATCTTGACCAAAAATTTTAACCTGAAGCGGGAGAGACGGACGAACGGACGGACAGACGAACGCACAGATCGAAAAACATAATGCCCCTAGGTGGGGCATAAAAATAAACTTGAGGCAACTTTAACATTGATAATACAAATACAAGATATTGTTTATAGTTTTATTTCAGTAAAATAAAGTCCTCGTTACACTGAGTTGAGGAGTACATGTTCCTACACGTATAACAACAATGTGTGCAGGCTCTGGAAAAGTCCACAACGATTGAATATCAAGGCAGTCTTAGTATTTAATTATTTTTCAGTGCATTCTATAGAAGAAAAAAATCTTTGAATTTTAAGTGCTCCTAAAGCAAAATTTTTTATTTCAACAAAATTATCATTGAATGTAAAACAGGATTTTAAGAACTTTATTCAAAGTCATTATCTACAGACAATAAAACTCTAACTGAAATCTGTTCTTCATTTTTGAAAGCCAGGAAACTGCTCAATTAGGATATAGCAGTGAGAACATACTTAATTTTTCAGTTTTTCAAATTTTAATGAAATGGTTCCTATTGACCATTTCACAAGAGTAATATACCAATAGAACTGTTTATTGGAAATCCTGTTCACCTTTTCTTTTAAAAGATTAGAAGTGAATGAGTGAATTTGAAGACCTTCACCTTGAAATTAACAATTCAATCCTTGTTCACCTACCAGATCAATCTGTATTTCAATGAAGTTTGATTTTATGAAATAAAAAAAAAATCACATCCCTTTGAACTTACTATCTTTAAATGTCTATAACTTTCACATAAATATGTCAACAAATTACTGTTATATTTCAACAATCATGCAAATACATATAAAATCATATTTATTGATGATGCATGAACAAAAATATGATGAAAAGCTGATTACATTTTGTTATAGCATTACATTTTTTTTTATCCTTCTTACTTCAGCCTTTTTAAGTTAAAAATCAATTCATTGCAAACTTCCATTTTAAACCTTATGGAATATACTGTATCTCAAGTTTGTGGCACAATTTTTTATCACTGAAATTTCTTCACATGGTTGAGACTTAGTGAATATACAATGTACAGAGGACTTGAAAACTAATTTTCTTTCATGGTAGCCCAAAGAAAGATAATAGCAGGATTTATGTAGTCCTACTAAAATGTATAATGGTGTTTTATTTTTAAACAAATGTCACTATTAGGTTCAATCCAGGTTATCGACTGGACTATTCAAGAGAATATTTTGTGTACATCGAAAAGGAAAGTAGGCATAGAATATCCAATTGTTAATGTCAAATGGCTCAATACTTTCAAAATTGTATCTAATAAATTTTTAGTTTCTATGTCGCTTTTCATCATATTTTCAACAAAACAAAAGTTTATATCTACAAAGGTGGGGTTATGATGAAGTTACAAAAATACTTTTTTGCATGTATAATAACTCCCAATAAGTTAGCCAGCTAAGCAAAACATCAATAAGTGTAAAATGGATTTCTTACAACTGAAAGAAATGAACCCAGAAAATTACGGCTAGTTTGTACACTTAGCAACCTGCACAATACAACCAAACCAATTTTACAAAGGAAAACATATTTCAAAAATGATGATAAAACGATATGCAATTTTAAAGTAAATGTCTAATGCTGAACAGTGAAAAAAAATTAGGATTTTTTTCTTCTTATGAATAAAAAGAGATATGGGGTAAACTTCAGTGAAGCAGCAACCCAAAGACAAAAACATCCCAGACATGTTTCATTTTTCAAAGTGTTCTATCTTACATAACAACCTTTTTAAAAACAACTTTGACTAAAATGTATCAGTAACGATACAGCTGAAATTCATGTGTAAATTGTGTAATTTATCCAAGAAGAAATATTTCAGACTGAATGTATTTTAAATCAATACTGCTGTATTTAAAAACTTTTTTTTCCCAAATGTATATCATTACATAATGCAATATATATAGAGATTACAATCAGAGAAGATGATACAAAAACTGCATATCATTTTAGTGATGAACTGAGGTTATTTCAATCGACTAGACATTAACAAACATCTACTTCAAACAATATTGATTAATAACAAAACTTTAGATAAAACCGCTGAACTTAATTCTAAACTGGTACAGAATTAACAATTTTTTAAAAATCATTTTAATAAAATAAACAAAACATGAATGATTGTAAGTAGAACAGCTAAAAATCTTTGTCAGGCCACAACGGCAACTGTCCGACAGCTACCAATTTAATTTTGGTAGCTTTTCACTAAAGCAATTTAACTACTGCATACATTAAAATGTGCAATTTCATTGCACTATTAAGGTATTCATCATCGTAAAAATTTCAGAAAGCTTGTTAAAGTTTAGCAAAATACATTTAAAAAGAATAAATTTGTATGTTCTTACACCCGAATAAAGTGTAATACAAAAGACGATAACAACATACACATATAAAGCTATTTACACAAGTTTTCAACCAGAGATTTATTACAGCAAAAAATAAATAAATACACTAACCTTTGGTTCATAACTAACACATAAGAAGTAAACAAAAAATTTGTAAGTAAGTGTGTATCAACCACAAGGAAAAATACTGTCCTCATAGTACTTATGCTTAAAAATAAATAAAGATCCCAACCAAGCCCTGAAGCAGGAACGTCCATTTTGTTCTTATGCACATGACCTGAATCAGATAGACAATTAAATTATGGTTTCTTAAACTCAACTTATACTAAAACTAAATGCTTCAAGATTTATAATATAAACTGAAAGTTTCTTAAATTTTTCAAATATTATAGAAATCTTTATCAAGATATTGAACTGTTCTGTACTTGTAGTGATTAAAAGACTAACAGTAATTGTATACTTTGGCACATAATTTATTTACTGTTTGTTCTTTCTCCCCCATTTTATTTTCAGTTTAGTAATTAAATACTGCACAAACATTAAAGATAAAAATATATAAATTATACAAAGACCAAATTTTTATAGTAATTTCAGTAGAAATTTCTTAAAAATGCTGGTATAATACATGTACCTATTAATATATTAATACCTGAGACTAAAAAATAGGCAGTTTCTCTGGTAGATTTTCATTCTTAAAACAAAGCTTTGAAGACAAGAGTAAAATTGCTTATAAAAATAGTTCCTTGTGAAATAATGCTATGAATAAAATACAAATCATCTAAAATGAAATGGGTTTATAAAAATTTGTTTATTGCAATTTAAATTTATCATATTGGTAAAAGCATTGCAGAATACAAGATAAGATAAAGTGTGCTAAAAATAATAATCTTAAAATGTGCAAAAAAATGATGAATATTCCCCTGAGAAAACTTATATCCTAAAGAGCATTTAAATTTTCTGCTAGTAAATTGATTTTAGACTTCAATCTTGGTATGAACACCAAGTGAAATGACAGAAGAAAAAATGTTGACTTCTAAGACTGCTGGTTATTTTTCAGACATTTTTTTCACTGCTCAAAAGCAAACTTTTGGGTTAAAGGAAAAAAAGGTTGATCCCTTTAAAGCTCTGGTTCTATTTTCTTTATTCTTTCATGTAAATGAAGCACATCTATGAAAAGTGTTGTCAAAATTTATACAGAATGTGTTGTTATATGCATTTTTGGCGAGAAATACATTGAGGATATACTGTTATGATTGTTTTAGATTTATCATGCTACAGTGAACCTTGATATGTTTTTAGTTGTGCCTAATTGGAGAACTTTCCCATTGACAGCTTAACCGCAAGTTTGCTCTTCTCAATGATGCATGAAATGGACAGTGAAAATAATGACATGAAAATTCCTGCACAATAATGATTTTACCACAGCCAAAATGTAATGTACATTTCTCCAGTTCAGACTTGCAGAATTGGTTCAGATCAAATGAGTATATCAGTCTAAAATCTCTTTACTAGCGTTAAAAAAGCAGTTAAAACTTTTAGCTCGATTTTGACACATTGAGGTATTTTCACTTTTGGTTGGTACATGCAGCGTAATGAGAACTTAAACATGATCATATCTGAAATTCGTTATTAAATTAAAAACTCATGATCAATTTTTGATGTAAGTCTGAGAACACAAGCCACAACATTTTTTTGGTGATATGTCTTTTGTTATAAAAAAAAGCAAAAATATCATATTTACAGCACAACACAGAAGAAATGTCTGCTAACTGGCAATTATTATTTTGACAATCACTTTTGATTACACAAGAAAGCAATGATCTTATAGAGCTTATACAGAGTACAAATAGTTGGGTTACAAATCAATGCAAACACATATCATCAATTCATGTACATGTAATAGAAATCAACACTGCTGCTTTTTAAAATACATCATTGTTTTAAAGCTATTTACACAATCGATTTCCTTGTTGGAACATAGCACTTTTGTAAGTATATATCACATCTTATCTTACAATTTAATATTTTGATGTATTTCGCAGTTTTATCAATGTTAGAAATAAAGGCAAATAGTTAAGACAATCATTGTTATCAAATTATTTTTGTTTACTCTCACACTGATAGATCTTTTTAGAAATAAAATATCCTATTGGTTTTTTTTTCTTTTACTTTATTTATCATAAAATGATGAAGTAAAATAAACTGTAACGGTTATTGAGAAATTCCTACCAAATATTCCTGGAAGTTTATTGTAATATAAATATATTGCATTACTTTTTTTAAGCCTGTAAACAAATAACAGGAAAAGAATGTCAATAGGAATATTTAGCAATCTTACTCAATGATATTTTCATCTAGATTTTTTAAATGTAAGAATTTTCTAAATTTAAAAATGTCATTAAAACAGGAACAGTAAAAAGGCCTTTTTTCAATTATGCATATATGTAGTCTTTAGAAATATCATTTAGCATAAAATATTTCATGTTCTAAAATTTGTTTCCTTGTTTAGTAATAATCCTGTTATCTCTGCCATTTATGTCAAGTTTTGATACCCCATTATAACATACAGGAAATCTTTAATGATATTGTGAAGCAAAAAATGACCTTATGATTCATCCTATTTAAATATTTCCTTTTGACAGATGCAAATATGAATGACCCAAATAGAATTTCAATAGACAAATAATGTTATTAGCAACATTTAACTGCAATTGTACAAATTACAGATTATCTTTATTATTCTTCGTTGAAGAACTGCTTAATGATATGATCGAGAAATTTTCTAATGCAGCAGTACATTTTTTGGGGGGGGGTTACAATATTGTAATGATAAAACAAGCTTCTTTTCTATGACCACACATCTTCTGTGACTCTGTTGACCAATCAATCACACGAGTCTCTTTTTGTCGGACATGTGACTATCTGGGCAATATTTATTGGTTTAACTGAGGTTCATGTTTATGACCAATTAATTATCCTTTTTGGCACTCTAACAAGAAGTGTTTTCCTATTTATTTAAAGGAATTAGCAGATCCTTACAAGTAATTCTGTTCTCTAGAATCCTTGTGGATGTTCCTTCAAGTGCACTTTTATATCACATATTCTCTTGACTGCATCACAGAGTATGAACACATACATCTATCACCCTGACAATGACATTTTTCAGATGATTTTTTTATGATATTTGTACAATGCAACATAAAAAACAGGACACAGAAATTTTAAGTACAGTCCAGTTTCTGAAAATTTGGCTGTGCCTGTTTGCTATATAAAAGTATCCACAACTCATAAAACTGCCCATAACATTGTGAAAAGAGTGCTTAAACATGATATGGATATAGATGACAGATTGTTTGCTGAATTTTGATTCCCTCCACGAGGCTGGTTATTACCTGAAACAGGTCTTTGCGTTGTTTTTATATTATGATATTCTGGGCCAAAATCAAAGGGTTTCTCTTTATTTCCTGTTGGATCAGACTTTGGAGGTTTATTGCCATGTCCATGTTTGTTTTTATTCCAGTGATGCATATTTTTGTGATAATCTTCATCGTCTCTCCTGTCTGCTCCGTCACCAGACCCACTTCCTTCAATTAGGCCACTTCCTGTTTCATGAAAACTTCCACTTCCTGTTTCTAAATCATCATCCCCACTGGATTCACCACTGTGATCAGTCACTGTTTCTGATAAGGAAATTTTAAGATTTAACAACTACTGCATGATATTCAATAAATACTGAGCATTTTGTTTATTTAATACTATCACAAAATTTATGTAAATAATAAAATGCACTAAATAAATAATAATATTTATGCAATAGCTAATTCCACTTATAACTGGCTTCAAGAAAGTCTACTTTATTCAGAGGTACTGTACTGTTTAAAAGAATTGGTGTACTCCCTCCCCCCCCTCCCCCCCCAAAAAAAAAAAAAAAAAAAAAACTTGACAAAATGAATTCGATTGGAATCTGTTGATCTTTTTGTGTTACAATGGCACAGTATTTTCCACTTTGCTTCTCCCCCCTAATCATTTATAGGTTTAAACTTAGTATTAACCATGTGTGTAAGTATAATACAGGGTCTGTCTGATGTATCAAGGAATTGAGGTTTATAGCTGTTTTATGGCCAGATAATTATCAGTTAATGTATTTTTCATTTGTTTAATCTCTTGGTATCAACAGATATAGCAGGAGAAATCGAAAATGGAAAAACATGAATAAAATATTTGAAAACATGTCACTGAACTTGGCCCTTTTCAACAACTTTTAAACATGACACAAGACTATAATATTTTAGGATTTTGTTCAGACCCCCAACTGCCATTTTTTTTTAATTGACATGGTCCCATGTTGAGTAAAGTTAAGCAAATGTGAAGATTACATGTTATATTTGCCCGAGGGAATAAAACGTTACTGATACTCCTCTCTCCAGATAAAGAAATAGTTATACTATCTTTATTGCATCAAAGCATAAGTAATAATATTTTTGAAACCTGTATTTTATGCAATTCAATACATTTTACTACTCCAGTGTTTTTTTTTTAACAGGGTGGAAAGCTTTTTCACTTGATAATGATAGGAAGAGATTGTTCTGAGAAAGTTTTTGACTGAGAACATTCCTGTGGGTTATCAAGGGTAATCTTCTTATCACACTGATGAAAACTTAACCTTGCAAGTTTACATGTACCATTTAACAATCATTATGAAACTGCTTTTACCGGTGTGGCAATTTAATTTCTTTTCTAGTATTAAATTGAATTTCATCAAGGTTGTAAAAGTAATCAGCCATACACGTTATCTAAGACATTCTTTGGTTTTTGCAAAATGTATCTAAAAATCAAAATTTCTTTGTTCTGTTTTCTGTTGACTATCAGGATATTTTTTTTTGGACATATCAAGAAATGTAAAATATTCCATCTCCATAAAATATATTGAATATCTTCTGATATATCAAAACCCAAATTGAAAGGACATGTTTTACAAAGAGAAATAATATTGTTTGGTTATCATTAATTACCTGTGTATATGTATGTGACATCTCCACCTTTGTATGCTGTTTGTAACTTATCTGTGATAATCTTCAGCTGTATTTTTTGTTGTTCTATGATGTAATTGGCCTCATTCACATCCACTGACACTTCTGGATTGTTGATTTGGTTAATTACACCATCTTTCTGGACCTCAGCCTCATACCTATAATTAAAGAAACAAATAAATAACAAATGATTGTAAATAACTAAGCTTTGAAGTACACACTGAGAGACTCAGAGAGAATGTAAATTATACATAAGGTCAAAAAGACATGTTTCCTTATATATGCTCTGAATTCAAGTATTTTATATATACAATTTTAAGAAAACTTTTAATATTTCTGTATCCCTATTTGATAAAAAAAAAAAAAACAAAGACTGAAACGTTGCAAAAATTAACAAAGCTAAAAGAAATATGTGCCTTTTACTTACCTTGACAAACTAATTTTCACATCCCTTAAATTAAATACCTGTCAGATAAAATTAGCAGCATTAAAAGCTGCATTCAAGGCTTTTTTTTTTGTCATTTTCTCCACAGTATATTGGATATATCAAAGTAATGTTACCAATGGAAAAAGGATTGCATAGACTAACATGAAACTGATTCCCTAGACTCCATTTACACTCCACATTAATATTAGTTTAAGGCTTCAGCAAAAAAAAAATCTGACCAACCCACCAATTTTTTTCAGGGTTTGAAAAACAGAAACACATTTTATCTTTTTTTTTTGTCTATACTTCAAGTGTATTTTGCTTTCTACACCTCTATCCATAAGTGTGCACCGCAAAACATCACACTTGAGTCAGAAAGAACCAGGTTACTCCATGTTCCGCAATATTGATTTATTTCAAACCACTGCATTAACTAGACATTCCCCATTTCCATTCTCAATTTTATACAATATACAAATCTGTTCAATCTTAAAGTACATCCACAGAACCAATCAAAACATGATTTATATCATTGTATATTATACAGAGAAATCTTATAGCCTTGAACTTAGATTAAAACATGTTACAAAGATAGAATTACCATGCATTTCTTAATAAGGGACAATTAAAAAATAAGCCAAGTATATCTAATTCCCACATATTTCAGTTCAAGTACTTTTTTCTCTCATTTTTCCATTAATATTTGCATGATTGTATCTTTTACATGTGAATCATATTGTCACTATTTTTTTCTTATCCAATTAGCAAGTACATGTTTGATTTTTATGCCTGAGAACAACATTTATGTTTCATTAGCATATGTTATGTTTCGCATTATAACTACATTTGTATTTGGAAATCTGGTTGTTAAAAAATGTAACAAAGTATAACTATCATCCAACACAACCAGCAGTAAGGTGTTCCTGGTAGCTGGTCAATATCTACTTTATCATTAAAATACTGTCAAACATAAGCTGTTGACACCGAGATATGTTTCTCCTGTCGGCATAAAATTCAGATAAAGACAATTTGATGGACAGCAACATTGCTAATTAATTAAAAGTCACTTGGCCAACTATTGGGTAGGGCCTCGAAACGGTTGACAAACTGAGATGTACAGACAACAATGTAACTTTATAGAAAATATTGTCTTTTGTAAGCAGTTCCTATCAAACTAACTTAAACAGAACATAGATAAAATGCTCCGTTGGGCACAGCTTGATACGACCGCAGAGGTCGAACCCTGAACAGTTGGGGCAAGTATGGACACAACATTCAAGCTTGATACAGCACTGAATTTGGATTGTGATTAAATATTTGACACAGCATAGGTTTCTGACACAGAATGAATGTGGTCAAAGAACTTAAATTTTTTTAATTTACCTATTTAAACCATATAATTATTATTTGCTTTTATATATAAATCAGAAATAACCAATTTAAAATGGAAAATTTTAAAGAAAAAAAAGGGAAAAAAAATCCCCCCCCCCTAAATTTTTTGAACCCCTTATGATTCATCACCCTCAAACTCAATCCCAGCCTTCCCTTTGTGGTATGGTACCTTGCAGTACAATTTCAGAGAGATCCATACACTTGAACACAAGTTATTGTCTGGAAACTAGAAAAATGCTTGTTTTTTGGCCCCAAATTCCTAAACATTTAGGGCAATTACCCCCAAACTCAAACCCAGCTTTCCCTTTGTGATATTGACCTTGTAGTACAATTTCATAAAGATCCATACACTTACACACAAGTTATTGTCCTGAAACTAGAAAAATGCTTGTTTTTATGCCCCTTTATGGCCCCTATTCCTAAAATTTGAGGCAATTACCCCCAAAATCAATCCCAGCCTTCCCTTTGTGGTATGGTACCTTGCAGTACAATTTCAGGGAGATCCATACACTTAAACACAAGTTATTGTCTGGAAACTAGAAAAATGCTTATTTTTGGCCCCTTCTTCCTAAGCTTTTTGGTCAATTACCCCCAAACTCAATTCCAGCTTTCCCTTTGTGATATGGAACCTTGTAGTACAATTTCATATAGATCCATACTCTTACACACAAGTTATTGTCATGAAACTAGAAAAATGCTTTTTTTTGCCCCTTTTTTGCCCCTAATTCCTAAAATTTTGAGGCAATTACCCCCAAAATCAATCCCAGCATTCCCTTTGTGATATGGAACCTTGTGATACAATGTCAGAGAGATCCATACACTAACACACAAGTTATTGTCATGAAACTAGAAAAATGCTTGTTTTTTGCCCCTTTTTGGCCCCTAATTCCTAAAATTTGAGGCAATTACCCCCAAAATCAATCCCAGCATTCCCTTTATGATATGGAACCTTGTGGTACAATGTCAGAGAGATCCATACACTTACACACAAGTTATGTCTGGAAGTTACAAAAATGCTTATTTTCGGCCCCTAATTCCTTAACTGTTAGTACAATAACCCCCAAAATCAATCCCCACATTCCTTTTGTGGTATTGAACCTTATGGTAAAATTTCATTGAGATCCATTCACTTAAACAAAAGTTAGAGTGCGAAAACTAATGTGTCTTCGGACAACGAAAACGCCACATCATACCAGTATACGACCACAAAATTTTTTTTGCAGTCGTATAAAAACTATTGGTTTGTAAATTTTAGGCAGTTTTTTAAGATGCAAAGTCTTTTTTTCTGCTAGTATACTTAAAATCCAAAAAAATTGGGACTGTACAAATAATTAACCTTTCACCAATATTACAGCATCTCTTAAGGGTATGACAACTTTAAATAGATTCAAAATATGTTGCTGTGTAGCCTGTGTTCACTTGGACTTTTTTTATACTTTTTCATGAATTTCAGTCTTATGCAACTGATGAATAGGTTTTAGCAAATACAAACCTAGCACGATCTTGTCCATTCCAACATTCATCATCATTATCAGGCTGCGCTGCAATCTTGTCATCATTACAAACGGAATATGGTAGCTGTATCCAAAAATCTTTGGCAGCCTTGACCTTGTCCTTTATATCTCTCACTAACCGGTCTAAACTGGTTCCTGCAGCTGTTGTTGGTTTGACATTTTTGCCTCCTGGTGGCTTGTACTTTCCAACGAAATGTTGGTCGTATGGGTTTTTCTTATCAGCAGCATCCCCAGTTTCTGGTACAACTTCACCTGCTCCAAAATTGAGTTTACCCCCAAAGGGATTCTCTTGTGGATCATCAGCCTGACGAACAGGTGTAGGAGTGCCTACAGTGGAATTGTCAGCAGATCTCTTGCCTCTAACCCCTTGACCAACAGCCTGTGTCCTAGGTTTTCCACACCCTTCAAATATCTGAAGAAAAATACAAAAACATGAACTGACATTTCAGATAAATAATTCTGTTTAATTCATATTCAGAACAGTCTGTTTCAAGACATATTCAAGATTGGATATCAAACAACTTATTACCATAAATCTACAATCAAAATTTGCATTATTTGATTTTTTTCTTCAATTTATGTAAAAGCATATGTCAACTGCGCAGCTGTACTTTATATAAGAACATTTATAACCTTTTCATATACATTTGTATGTTGGGTAAAAAATCAATGTTGCAGGTAATCAAATAAGCTAACTTATTTGGGCAAATAAAACAACCATGCGGAATTATTCTTAGTTTATATAGAAATAAATGGGGAATGTGTCCATGGGACACATATGATGCCCTGCTTGCACATTATATAAAGTTATAAAGGGACATAACTGAAGAACAGTAAAAGTGACGCTACCCAAATTTGTACTTGATGTGAGTTTTGTGGTAATAAATATTGTGTATAAGTTTCGGAAAAATCAGCAATTTTTTCATTTGTAAAGGGGCATGCATAACTCTAGAACAGTAAAAGTGACACCACCAAAATTCAAACTTGATCTGTATTTTGTGGTAATATAAGCACTGTGAACAAGTTTCATAACATTTGGTTGAGGCAAACTAAAGTTAGAGAATAGAAACGAATATTTCAGCAATTTTTCCATTTGTAAAGGGGCATAACTCTAGAACGGTAAAAGTGACGCCACCAAAAAATCAAACTTGATCTGTGTTTTGTGGTAATAAGCATTGTGTTTAAGTTTCATAACATTTGGTTGAGGCAAACTAAAGTTAGAGAACGGAAACCAATTTTGGACGTACAGATGGACGGACGTAGACGGACAAGGGTAAAACAGTGTTCCAGCTAGGATTTCAAAAGGGCAGGGAGCCAATCATGAAAAGGGCACTTTAGCACGATGATTGATATTTAAAAAAAGGGCATGTCAAACATTGTCTTATGTTAACTGCAGGGGTTTCAGCTAGGAGTTTTGAGGGGGTTTTGTCACTTTACGCTAGATGAAAATCAACCTTATTTTGGGTAACAGTATTAAAGGGACCATGCAAGGACGTATATTACTAGCTCAGTCTTCCCTAGAACATTTTTGATACATGGTAGGTCTAAGGTTAAGTTGCAATGCAGAGCGCAGTGGCGTTTTGTAGAATTATTTTTATTTCATTAGTGAAATGAATTGTGCATGTCAGTTAAAATATTACACTAGATCTGCAATACAGTCAGGAACAATACCTTACATTTTCTCCAGGGGCCAACCTGGATCCCAAAACTTTTTTCCAAGGCCCCAGTAGAAATTTTAAGGCCCACCAGGGTATTTTTACTACAGGTACATACTTATTAATAGTCTTGATTTTGAATGTTCTTATAAAGGCAATAATATATGTTTGAAATGCCTAATACATGTAGCCCAGTGTTTTTGATTATGATAGAAATAAGAAACAATTATAATAAACCACATTGAGTTTTTCAGAATTAAAATCCATTTAACCATGTCTTTTCAGACTGTTAAACTTATATTTGTAATATCATATATAAAAAAAAATCCCCCCCCCTTTTCCATTTTACACACCCCTAGATGTAGAGTATTAAAGTATTATCAGTTTCACCCCAAGAAAGTATTCATTTTTAATGAAATAATTTTAGCAGTTAATCAAAATGAAAATCTTACTGTCTATAAATAACAATGAAATGTAATTGTTTCTTGTTAAAGGGGTTTTCCAAATTTTCCAACAAAAAAAGCACATGGCTTTCAACAAATGTAAACAAAGCAGTCAATTTGTGATCATGGATTACAGCTTTAATTAATTTAATTTGGATATAGATATTCAATGAAAGGTACAGTCAAGCATTGTTTTTACTTTCTTCTGGATTAAAACTAGTTTAAAAGATCAATTTAAAAAAAATCTTTGACATATAAACAACAGACGATCTACGGATACATCAAACGCAAATTGTCATCTTTTGAGAAATATTGAAATTGAAATGCTGACTGACCGAATTTAATGAGAAAAATTATTACAATGATCAATTATGAAGTTAAATTAACGGATTAATGACCCATCCGATGTCGATAAGCAGATTCTCTGTAATCACAACTTATTACACCTGCTGTAAATGTTAATTAGCTGAGGGTCATAAACTTGTCATAAATATGAAGACAGGTAGAATAATTGTATTTTCATAAAAATATTACGGCAATAAAGACATGGACTTACGAAAAAGGGCAGGGCGTCAGAAAAAGGGCACAGGGCGTCAGAAAAAGGGCACAGGGCGGCACTGGGGAAAGGGCGGGCAGACCGCCCTGTGAAAACGACCTAGCTGGAACACTGTAAAACTTAATGCCCCCTCCGCTACGGCAGGGCCATAAAAAATCTTGTTACTGTCCTTTGCTTTCTTTTATCTTGCAGTAACATTAATTCTCCTACTTAAATATCATTCTCTCATTCCAGTCTTACTGATCTACTACTAGGACATCCTCACTCTTGACTCATGGTTACTGATCTACTACTGAGACATCCTCACTCTGACTCATGGTTACTGATCTACTACTGGTACATCCTCAATATGACTCATGGTTACTGATCTACTACTGGGACATCCTCACTCTGACTCATGGTTACTGATCTACTACAGGGACATCCTCACTCTGACTCATGGTTACTGATCTACTACTGGGACATCCTCACTCTGACTCATGGTTACTGATCTACTACTAGGACATCCTCACTCTGGCTCATGGTTACTGATCTACTACTAGGACATCCTCACTCTGTCTCATGGTTACTGATCTACTAGGACATCCTCACTCTGACTCATGGTTACTGATCTACTACTAGGATATCCTCACTCTGTCTCATGGTTACTGATCTACTACTGGGACATCCTCACTGTCTCCAGCTTAAGGATCTACTACTAGGACATCCCCAGTCTGTCTACTGATTTATTACTAGGATATCCCTGCTTTGTCTAAGGGTTATTGTTCTGCAAGTGGGACATTCTCACTCTTGTTTCATGGTTACTGATCTATTACTAGTACATGTACTTCACCACTCTGTCCTAGGGTTACTGATATACTACAATGATATCCCCAATCTGTCTCAGGGGTACTGATCTACTACTTTATATCCCAAATCTGTCTCAGGGTTGCCCTATATGCTTCAGACTCATGACTAAACTGCAGGTAGATAACACTCTTCTCATGTTTAAGGATCCACTTCTCAAGCTAACCTTTTACTTGGAACCACACTTTGTCTAAGGTAGAAATATCTAGTACCAAGGAACCTCTCTTTCGCAGGATTAACATTATTACATAAGTTGATTTGTCTACTACTGGAAAACAGTAACTTTGTCTCTTATCTCATGCTTATTGATTTCTTACTGGGAGACCACATGATTTAGATTTACTGCTCCACAAATGGATCTACAGTTATCAACCATAACTCAGCTTCAGCTTAATGAGCTACTGCTGGTAACCAATATTAAGTCTCATTTTTTGAAATATCCTCTGCTGGACCCCCTCTCAAACCACTTCTATTCTTCATGCTCACTAATCAAAAACTGAGAAATTACTTTGTCATAGATCTGCTATAACAATTAAGTTCAAGACAAAGATTTGCACCATAAAGTAAACCCTGTATCATTAAATGAAAAAAATCAATGTACATTCTGATACAAAAAGTCATGATAAACAATCTAGACATGGTTCAAGCTACTGGGGATTAGAATAGACAGTGTTCTAATTATTTCAGATTTCACAAAAAAAAAACATTGAATATTTTTTCCAGGTACTCAGCTGGGTGCCAGATAGAGAGGGCTTAAGCTCTTCCCCCCGAGTTTTGATAAAACAGGTTTTAAATTTATACATGTAAGGGTTTCCTTTCAAAAAAGAGTTAAGTTTAAGTAAAGGGTTTACTAAGCTTAATTTCATTTAGTTTTCCACAAGGTTATGGTAGGATGTATCCAAAACAAAAAAACTGCCATTTTACAAGGTTACCATGTGCATTTAAATATTAGGAATGGACTATTTATATACAATTGTACGGCATGTCAATGTTCTAAATTTGTAAAAGACATGCACCTAGTGGTCATGTGGTGAAATCTGTTGAACCAAAGGTTCATTTGGCAAACTTACAATTTATTTTATCTTCTGATCTAAAAATACTTTTTAGAGGTACATGGATGATAGCACCTGTCAGGTAGACATTTAAATTATGTTCATTTCTCTCTTATCCAGATTGTTCACTAAAATGACACAAAGGCCGAAATTCATTCCTTGAAAGAAAAGCCACTTAAAACAGCAAACAGATAGGATACAACTGATCGAAAAGATTATACTTCATACAAATCTATTGTATGAATAGAAGTGATTTCCTTCTTAAAATTGATTTAACAGACCTGCTCAATTTAAGGAATGCCTTAATGTTTTTTCACCTTAATCAATCGGAAATGCATGCATCTAACCTGCCTCATCAGTTTTCTTCAATTTGTTCAGACAAAATAGAAAATGAAATTTCTATTTAATCCATTAATGGTTCATTATAAACGCTACTCATGCAGGTAGCCAGCCTTCATACATTAATAATCTAACCTCAGATTCCCCTAGACTTTAACTAATCTATTAAATCAAAATTCTTTTGCATGTTATATTTTTCACATCAAAGGTAATTAGAGAGCTTAGATAATTTGTGTGGCCAAGTATCATTTTTATCAAACAGATATTTGTGTCACATTGTCACTTCTTATTGCATTTCATTTCCCATTATAACAATGAATAATGCCCCATATAAAGAAATATAAATTTCAGTTATTGAGAATGGCACGTTGAGAATCTGTTCTCTTTGAAATTCTAGTCACAATACAAAAATATCAATATCAAATTCTTTAGTGAATAGCATTAATTCAATGGAACTAATTTCTTGCTTTTTATGTTCAATCAATGAGAGACAGTGAACCAGTTATTCCATTTGAAATTTTTTGGTATCAAAAAAGGTATGTATAAAAAAATCCTTTTCCTCAAAATTTATCCTAATTAAGTATTCATATATTTTTATTCTCAAGAAACTTTTTATGTCATGTATAAATTCTGATAAATGTGTTTACAGCAATAACAATAATAATAAGTAGTGAGTGAAACGATACACAATCTCTTCACCCCCCTCCCCATCCACACCCATTTATGTTTGGGATGCAATTTTAATGATCTCTCTCTAGATTTATGACAAATACTTTGCTTCACATAAATATCTTCAACTGACATATCACTTTTGCTAGAAGTTTCATTGAAATTCATTCTTTGGTTTTATGGAACTTGGCTTACAAAATTTTTGGTCAAAATGACTGATGGACAAATAGTGCATATCCAAGTCAAAACATTATTTGTAGGGGGAAATCTCCATTATTGATTCGAAAAACTAATATTTCCTGTAGTATTCATCTTTATACTGAAAAAACATTGCAAGTATCAGGATTTCAAAAAGAGTTATTGAACCCTCTTCTAATAATGTATATATTTTTATTTCAAAGTTGTGCGAGACAAGTTGGGATTGGGAACAAATAAAATAAATGCAAAAATGGTAGCTTTCCAAACAAAAAGAAGAATACATAACTCAAACTTCTAATATTTAGAAATAAATCCAAAAAAATAAGACCTATTTTTCTTTTTTTCTATTTTGAAACTTCACAGGTCATAGACAATTCCCTTTGGTAAACAGAAGAATCCTAGAAATGGTTTTGTAATTAACAAGAAATGAATCAACATACTTTTAAGTAACATGTTTAAGGATTGACAGAAATGTTCTATAACTGTAACTGTCAGAATGGTTTTTCCACACATTGTTTACAATGCTAGGCTGTGGTAATTAAAACTGGAAGATTGGTTGCATAACCACATGGCTTTAGTGCATGTATCATCATTCAATATGGAGGGTCCCAACATCAAAAAATTTTACATCTGTGCTAAAAGTCTGTTGGAAATGTACTTTCAGTGGGTAAAATATGAGGCTCCTGATAGGTGATTAATTAATGTATTTGATGTATGTAATGATGAAGAATTCCTCTATATTAAATATCCATTGATTTGCCAATAAGAGCTACATAAAGGCAGGTTGATGAAGTCTCTTCAAGAGCTCAATTTACTACATTAATTTGTAATTTATTAAGATTACAGACAACACATGCATTCAGTAGTAACTTGCACATTAAGATGCATATTTTTGAAATGGAATTCCAGATCCCATTTTTTTCTATAATTCTTGTGCAGAATAACATAATATAGACATCCATAAAACAAAGCAGTATCTATTTTATGGGACAGAAATTGCCTATCTAAGATAATTTTAAGGTGATAAAACCTCATCATTTTCTAAAAAGACATCAAGAAAAGAAGTTTAACTGCCTGCTGTTAAATGTCCTTAGATCAACAAGCTTCTGTTAAAGTAGAATACAACATGAATAGACACCTATCAAATGATTATTTCATAAAAGAAGTGAATTATGACCATTTTTTAAGGTCGAGGATCACAGGTAGCAAACAAAAAGACCAGACAATTTTTTACCAGTGTACTCAATCCTGAGACCTTATTACAAAATCATAAAAGATTGCAAGACTTACAATTCTGCTGGTTAATCCTCAGGTAAGAAGTCAATTGTAATTGTGACCTTTTAATTTTACATAAGGAACTTTTCTAAATCCAGTTCTTGTCAAATATATTCGATATTGAAATGATAAATTTTAAGACAGACTAAGATGTCATTAATAAAGGGAAGAATAATATTCTTATTCTTATTAATAACTTTTAGAAACTAAAGCTGGCCTTGTTAATCAAGTAGATTTAAACTAATGTATTTTTATAAAAATTTGTTTTCATTTAATAAAAGTATTACTTTCTTCTAATCATTAAGTAATGAAACCAAACAAGAAAGTGTCCATATCACAATCATCATTTCAAATTTTCTATTTGAACTCAATCTTTCAATCATTTTGGTCTGACAAATCCATTTTCAAAACATTTAACTTCTTTGGCCAAACATAAAATCTAAATTGTTTGGTGTTGCCTACCTACCCACCTCAAAAGCAGCATACCCAAACCTTTTATGACACAAAATGTTGTCCTCCTCTTAAAAGTTAGTCATTTTCTTGTCTAAAACATGTAACTGATGTTGTTGGCCAAAAAAAATAAAATCCCTAGCTACCTACCCAACCTTTCAAGGCATAGGTTTGCAACATCAAACAAAGATTTTTATAAGAATGGCCTAAGCTTTCTTTGAGAGCAATAGAAGGTGTACCCGACTAGCTCCCACAGCATTAATCCAGTCACAACTTGATGTTAAACAAGAGAGATAATACAAACCTGATCTCGAACTGTGATACTGTTTTCTTGAAGGATCATGATGGCATCAGATATTTTCACATCAATGGGATCAACAACAGATTCAATGTTGAAAGGTCCTTCCAATCGTATTGCTAATTGTTTCATGGCCTCTGAAAAAAAAAAATGGTTTAACATACATATTTTGCCTTTTGAATTTATTTTAAATCCTTTGTCTTTCATACATTTAATAAGTAATATAAAAGTTGGAATTTGATTATTTTTCATCATAAATATTTTTTTGGCCTTCCCTTTATATTAATGGTTTCAGTAAGAGTAATTACATAATATCTTATTGAAAATCTTTTAAACAAAAATCAGAAAAACTAGGAATTACTCTTTTTAAAGGCCCTGGTTCCATCATGAAATAATGTCAATAGACAGAATTTATTATATGACTTTTTGTAATTTTAATCTTTCAATTCTGGGCGTTATTTTATGCTAAATATATGAATGTCTCTTATCTAGTAAATGTACATTAAAGAACATTAAAATCAAAACAGTGTTTTTTAAATTTCAGATTACAGAACCTATAAAGACTATATGCATGTTCACAATTAAATCAAGCCATTTGCTACGATTTCTTAGGTTTACTTGTATGTGTTGTGTCTACAATAATTCACAACATAGTGGAAAAGGTTAAAATGCATGTGTACTATTGCACCACACTGTTGCAGAGCATGTTTTTCTCATTAATTCAAATAAGACTTCAGTGTTCATCTGCAGAGTCCTTCATTTTCTATCTTTTCTCCTGATGAGAATTCTCATTTTCCAAAAGCTATTTTGATATGATGTAATGAGCCTACTCATCTTTGTTCCATCAGCTCACAAGCCTGCTGCTGAGTTTTATGAAATGTCCCCGATAACTGTGAGAGACACTTCATTACACAATCATAGGAATTAAACTTTAAGCAATTATCTGGAACAATAACTGTTTTGTACGTAACTTTTCACAAGTAATCAACGTTTTCCCTTTTATCTGTATTTTACAGTCTTTTAAATTGATTTCTCGTGTTCAATAATAAATCTATTGTATGGTCCCTTCATTTCCATATCCCATGATACCTTTATCTAGTAATTAATTTGTAAAATTACAACTTCTTTCTCAATGGACTGCTCGTTCAGCATAAATAGATGCTTTGGGGATTGGTAAAATAAGCATTCATTGCATGTATATTCAAATGGCCTTAAATGCTAAAATCATTAATCAGAACTTTTACTATGTTATTTTGTCCCAGCATTGATAACGATAGCCTGCTGGAAAGTTTACAGTCATGATGGATACCAGGGTATACTTTTAGATATCACAAATCTTTCAATTATATGGCTGTTCTGAACTTCAAAGATTGGACATCTTTCAAAGTCTTACTCAATCTTCTGTAGCACCCCTAATAGGATTTTTCAATTCAAAATGGGAGATTTATTAAAATCCGAACATGGACCTCATCATTGTTTCAACAAAAATTAATGTTACCCACAAACACACACACACACAAATGAAAAGGTTCCGATTAACAAGAAATTGTTTCTTCAAATGCTCTCTCTTACACTTGTATAACGGTAAATGAACACATTTGGAAGAATATTATATAAGGAGATTGCTAATAAAGATTCAAGATAAATAACCTTCTACATCAACCTTAAGTGATTGGTAAAGGTTATTCTGATGAAGGGACAGATTAGAGCAGCCATTTCATAATAGAACACTTTATCAAACTGATCAAGTTCACTAAAAGATGGAAATCTATGCTATGCCTTCTTCAATTAACTTTATCCTTCATTTAGTTTTTTTGAAACATCCATAAAAATACTTGACCTTAAATGACCTTTAGTTATATGAATATATCTTATCAAAACACCTTTGTTAAACAAACATAAAACCTATATATATATCACCTGACCAAATGACTAATTTTACATGTCAAAATTGATAATCGGAAAGAAATATGGGCCTTTGATGTTAAAACCCCAGTATATATTCTCCAACAAAAAGATCTTTAACAAATTATGATATAGGATATCAGGTACAAGTCACCTCCATTGTGAGTCCAGTCTGAGAGCTTATTAAATGTAACTCAACCGAACATAATTTATCTATAAAACAAATCTAAACCTTTATAATGAGCCAAATACAGAAAATAAATCTGATGAAAATATTTAAAGTGGAAATCAATTAGTCATGCTTGTTACGATTTTAAGGTGTGAAGTATTAAATGAAAGGGCTTAAATTTCCTTCTTTCACCTAATTTCTGCTGACCAACTCAAGTTTTGAACTGAATTCCTCTTTCCCCCCTAAAATGACTTTAATGATCGACAGTCTTATCATATGAACAATAACTTCTGAAATCACATCTGGTGCATGAAAAGATAATAATGATATCATTTACTAAGCTTTGATCGATACTGTTTACTTTTGAACCAAGTTGTTAACCAAATCTCCGACCAGGTCTGTTTACACAATGATAGGGGTAAGACCATGTCCAATATTGGAAATTATGGCTAACATAAATTACAAGGTACTCAAGTACGACAACAGTACCCTTAAACAGTCATTTACAAGGGCTCAATAACTGACATTCTTCAGTCTGTTCAACAACTATTCTTATAACATTTCAAAACAAATATATCACACACATTTCCAACAATCTGTTAATTAAAATTACATATCTCGATGTACAATTTGAACCTCACCTGTGCACAGATAACAGACAGATTTCAATCATACAGAGTTTTTTTTTTTTTTTGGAATTTTGCCTGTAGTCTACTGGGATATATCTCAGTTTAAGAAGAAAACACAATCTTCCTTTGATGTAGCAATACAATAACTTGTAAATATTTGTCTTGATAAATAACTAATTAAATGTATTAGGGATGTACCCAAGAGATCTGTAAATGGGATGATTTTATCACTAAAATAATTTCCTTTGTTAGTATAGTATAGTGCTCCACAGGACACCATTTTCCTACATAGTTACCTATTAACCTATTTCTAACATATGAAGGTGTGCATCCTGAATAATATGCCCAAATTTTAACTGATCTGGTCAATATTTGAAAAGAAACCAGAACACTACAGATGGAAAGATAAATGGACAGAGGTAACATTTTATGCCCTTTGCCTTAAGTGGTAATGCTATGGAATTTTTTTTTCTCTAGAAAACTTTGTCAAATTGAATTATTCCCCGATAGAACTATGATATAACATATATTCTTCCTTATCCTTGCCCTTAACATTTAATTTCATATACAAAAAGAAAAAATAAACATTATTTTTAGGTGTGATCTAATTCTGAAACTAAAATTCAATTCAGGTCACAAAATGCGGAATTTTTTTTTGAACTTTTATACATAATTTCCTGTCACCAAGTTTTTTACAGATCAATTCAACAGACTTGTATACAAAAGAATGAAAAATGAAAATTACAGATTGAAGACAGATAGAATACCGCCTACAACATTATAATGGAGATCAGTGGGTAAATCAGGAAAAAAGTATTTCTGGATCCAGGCAATTTTCTAAATTTAAGTGCTGACCTCACAATTAAAACTTGAACCTTCTTTATCAAACAAATATTTGAACTATTCAGTATGCCATCAAATCAATATTTGCTTTAGTTTCCCAACACTTCTCCATACTTGACAAAATAGGACTGTAAATAATGCGCATATTTAAACTTCCGACGACAACGATGAAAAAATGAAAAGGTGGGTTGTTAAATAACAGGAGACAGTGACGAGACTGAATCACACTGCATACCTAAGGGTTAGAAATGTAAACATACAAGTGTTTAAACAAAGTCAAAAATGTTCCCACTTGGAATATTTTTTATAGAAAAATGACGCCATTATTTCTGTACATTACTCTAACCAAATAGAGAAAAGCTTCACAAATAACCTACTGTCACATATAATAAGGCAATTTTTTCAAAGATTAAGACCTCTGAACTGAAGCACATATTATGGCCATTTATCATCAATTACAACAAGTGATTTATCATAATTTTTGCAACCTTTCAAATCCATTTAACAAACATTTTACACACAAAACTCTTTTTTAAGTGATATTTTGCCTGTTATTTTATTTAGTTAATATCTGAAAGGCAATCATCATAATTGACAACCATAAATGAAGGCTCTGATGATTCATGGAAATTAGGGGGATCAATTTGGGATTTACATAAAAAATAAATTGCTCACAATGATTTCCACACAACTATATTCAGTTGGCTGATGAAATAAAATTTAAGATTTGAGGAATTAAAATTTCCAACTTCTAATCTCTTGGATACAAAAAATACATTTTAATATCTTGCAAGATGTTTAAAATTAAACCATGCATCTGCAGAACAGTGCATGAACATCTGTTTCTGTCTTTCATTACATATTTAAATCCAAACACTTTTTTTTTAAGAATGAAAAAATTGACGTTTATGGTTTGAATGACTTTCTTAACTGATTTTAATCTCAGTCTAGGAAACAGAAGTTACATTTGACAATATTCACAAAAAGGTGAAGGTTTCCAATTCTGTGAAAATAAATAAACATGCCATACTTATCAAACTTATTTTTTATCTTTTCACAAAATATTTATTCATGAACGAATATGCTTGAACTCAAGAGGTCTTTTAAAGCTAATATCGTTGCATAATTTTTGGAAAGCCAAACACTGCAGTTTCAATCAAGAAACAACACATACATTTTTCAAAAAATATTGAAAATAAATGGCACATTTGGTTATGGATGGCAATAGACCACTTTCGAGTTATGTCCTTCACCAGAAAAGTTCATTTATTATGCGTGCCTTTATGACGTCATTTATTTACCAGATAGAGGGGACCACCTCTATCCCTGGACTATTAAAGTTCATCAAGCATCGTCGTGATCGTCATTATGCAGGATAAACTAGAAATAATGTTTGTTCCATAGGTACTTAATCACAATTCCCTAATTACAGTTGTGCTGATTATCAATTATAAGAATTTAATTTGCCGAATAATTCCTGCAAGATAGCATCATATTTTTTCAACCGCTCGCTCAACATTGGAAGGAAGTGACGATGCCCCTAAACGCACAAATGATGTTCACTAAAACCAAAATTTTTGAAGGAAATGCAACGGACTCGAAAGTGGTCTATTAGAGTAGTACTTAAAAAAGAATGCACAAGTTATTAGCCATACATATAACATTTTAAAAGAACGTTTGCCATATATTTAAAATACACCTAGAATAAAGTCCAAGGCTTATCAAGCAACTTTTGTTTGAAATGAGGAGAAGGTTTCAGGGGTTTTTATCTGAAAAAAAAAATCAGTTGGAAAAGAAGGTGTTTGGATCTACACATACATGACATAATTTAAACAATTTCTAAAATGGAAAAAATAAAATCCCTAGAATTCTCCTTCTGGATCTTCTTATAGTAATATCAACTTTATATATTTAAAATACCAGAAAATTTGAAATTGTTTATTTAGTAAAACTCAAGATTAAACCACATAGCCTATCAACAATTCTGTTATTATCAATTTACATATATTTCATTTTGTATATCTCTTAAATGCAGCACAGAGTTCGCGAAAATGGTCGGTCCTGTCGGTCCTGTCGGTCAAAATGAGGCTCGGACCAGTATTTTGAAGGCTAGTGCCGGTCCCGATGACCGATGTAAAAACGGCCGTTGTAGTGCATATTTTGGCACTTTTTTATATCGGTTATTAGATGTACCGCAACTGTTTCCAATAAGTGTTTACATCGGTTATCAGATGTACCCGCTGCCAATTTCCGGTAGTGGTTTACGGATTTATTATAAACAAACCAAAGCGGCGATCTACACGTGGCCTACTAAATTTGTTCATAGAGCCATCCCTGGCAAACAATCGGCGATTGAACCCTACAATGGAGCAAACAAATACTGTAACAGCCGAGAAAGTGATTCAGATGATGAATGGATAGTGAAGATGACTTTAAATAAGAACAATCAGAAGACCTGAACTGGTCCTTCATTGTTAATTTGCCTGTGGGTGCGAAGAATAAAACTAATATTAATTAAGTTATTTTTCGATAAAATATGTTATTAATTTTATTTCAGGATAAAATTGACAGATTTTGTAGGACTGGCTAAAATTTTGTAGGACTGACAAATAATCATGCTTTGTCGGTCCCATGACCGACGGGTCAAAATAAGTTTTCGCGAACTCTGGCAGCATGTCCTGTCCAAAAAGCTACCAGCTACATAAAGGCATAAAGACTGGTATTTCACATGCACAATGTGACTACTTTTTATTATGCAGTAAATGTATCCCCAAAAGCTAAATACCATTACTGGACAGCATCCAAAAAGCTGCTATGAACTAAGTCTTCCAATTTCCATCTGAACAGATAACAATAGACAATAAATATCAAATTTCTAATTTTTACAGGATTTATAATCTACAACAACCTGCGAAATAAATCTTTTAAACTATAAATGTCAACTGAAATTTCATATTTCATAAATTCCTATAAATTCTAATAGGTTCTAAAATGACAGTAACAATTATGTGATATATGTAAATCAACATATTTGGAGTGCTTTAAATGTTGCAGAATCAGTAAGAAATATAACAAGCCTTAATTAAAATGGTAGCACAGTTTTGTTTGGTATTCTCAAGGGTTCATATATAAAACATTATTTGTGAGAATTAATACAAAACTATACAGAATTCCTAAAATTATTAATTTATAACTAAATTTTGGTTTACATTTCACAAAAGAATTAGATTATACAATTTCAGATCATACTGATGGTGTAGCATGGTTTTCTGCTTAGTTTCAATAAACCAATAAATCTGACAAGAAATGTAGGGCTTGAGAGAGCCACAAGACAATTTTCCTTATTTACATTTCTAAGGGGCATAACACCTGTAAAAATAGTGGATAGGCAATGATTATCACACTTGTCTAAGATTTTGATGATATAAACCTTTGATATATATCATAAATATACGAAAAAAAGAAATGTAGATACTAGAGTACTTAAAAGACAATTTCCTATATAATTCACATATCAAAGGGGCACAACTTCTATAGAAACAGTTGATCGATGTTGCAAAGGGGACAAAACTTATGTAGAGATAACAGGGTTCAACGCTAACTTTTTAATCAATTTGACCCTTCCCCTCAGGGCAAAAGACCATGACATTTTACTTGTCCCAAAAGAAGTCAATAATGAATGTCCAAAAAATTTTACTGATGAAGGAATTCCATGCCTTCTTTTCACATTACATGACATTCAATAGTTTCCTATAATATTTTTTTATGTAAATGTCATGGTGATGTTGTTGTTAATTGTAATTTGTACGTTACTTTGCCTTTGACCCTCTTATGGGTGTAATTTGTACGTTACTTTGCCATTGACCCTCTTATGGGTGTAATTTGTACGTAACTTTGCCTTTGACCCTCTTATGGGTGTAATTTGTACATTACTTTGCCTTTGACCCTCTTATGGGTGTAATTTGTACATTACTTTGCCTTTGACCCTCTTATGGGTGTAATTTGTACGTTACTTTGCCTTTGACCCTCTTATGGGTGTAATTTGTACGTTATTTTGCCTTTGACCCTCTCATGGGTGTAATTTATACTTAATAAAGTTATCATGATAATAGATTACAGGTCCATTCAAGGATAAAACATAATTTCCAAAAATATTGTAAATATTGAAGCATTTTGATAAATGTTCATTCCTAATCTATCAAAGTTTTTTTGCCTTTTTAGACAACATAATTGATATATCTATATATAGTGCCCTCTTATTCATAAATAATTGCCTTGTTTAATATACTAGTCAACTAGTTTAAAAGTGTCATTACTCCGTTTATATGTTTTTCTTTTTTCTAAAGTAAAATAGTATAAAATTCCTTCCACATGATGTAATTACGCCATGACAGATTGTTTTTTCTCGGTTATACAATATAAGGCGATTACTGCTGACATATGGCAGATTCAGATTTCAAACACCCTTAAAATATTCAATACTTTGACTTAAATGTGATACTTTTTTCTTGGTTAAAAGTCAATTAGGTCTGGTGACAGATTGTGTCTATTCTTTCAGTCTTAACCAGTCTGATATGCATGTGCTCCCAGCTGTCTTACAATATGACCTTGACATTATAAGTAGACAGAACATTAAAAAGTGTCAAAGCAATTTATAATGATGAGTAGTGTTATAAAGTACCACTGAACATCCAGGAATCAGCAGAATGCCCAAGATTTTTGCAATATTTTTACTGAATAATTTTTTTATGTGTCTTTGAAACATTTTTATATTCTTTGTAACTTTTCTCCCTCATGTGGATTTCCTCTAGTTACACAATGGGGTTTACTGGGGGAAAAGTTTCTTATAAATACTACATTTTTAAAACTTTTTCCAAATTAGCCATTTCAAAAATTATTTCTACTTTTCCCTTTTTCCACATTCCCATCTCAGTTCCCATTTACTGAGTCATCTTATACAACTTTATTCTACTGAGAATTATATTTAAATGCAGCAAAATAGAATAATTTTGAATTGCTTACTGTCAAGCTGAACAGATGAAATTTTTATTGTCATCAGAAAATAAGGGCAACTAAGCCCTGTAAACAAATTATTTTTAAAAAATCGCAACCTACATCAACTGCCATTTCAAGATTCTTCAAAATCTTTATTCACAGTTTAACTCTGGTGGCAATAGATTTGACCTTTATAAATACAACTTAAATTTGAAATGCCATAAAATCCTTTCATTTCATTTTCCAAGAAACTCAAAAAAATTTACTTATTGTTTTCGAAAATTTGTAATTTGTATATTTCCTTTTATAAATGCAGTGTTTTAAATTACAAATAATAAATGCAACTGTAGTATTTTGTTTAATTTGTTATTAACCAAGATCTTACCAATGTAATCATTCCAAAGAATATTAAGTTCTGCATGGTAAGCTAAACATCCCTTCATGGTATTCAGACAATAATTGTTGCATGGTTTGGTTTGTGTAAGGCCTCGGCACTGTGGACAGTAGGACATCCTCATTAATGCTTTGGTACAGGCTGGTGTTGGTCGAAGCTAAAAAAAAAATATTGTAATTTATACCAGTAATTAATCATTTCATTTTAACCTCAGTGTTAAATGTTTGTGGAAGTTATATTTTCATTAGCTCTTTCAGCATGTTCATGATCCCAAAATCTAAGTTGACAACTTGTAAAAAATTCTGACATTAGCTATCAACAATCAGTGAAACCTCAAAACAGTATTTAAATCTGATGACTTTATCTATTAAGTATTAAAATTTAGCAATCTACACCCAAAATTCCCTACAAATAACATTTTGGCTGCCAGAAGCCATTTTGAAATTAAATATCACTGAATTTACCAGACAAATTTGATGCAAGTGTTGACAAGCCCAAACCAGTTTTTACTGGATTCCTGCATGGGGTAACTTATTTAATTAGAGTATTCTCAAAACTATTACTTGACAGTTATTGACTTAATATTATATCATTAATAAAATACAAAATTAACTGCCATTAATATGCATGTCCTCTTAAAACCAAAAAATCAAGATATAGAATATAATACTGAACTGAAAAACTTCATTATAAAATGTGTAATGCATTCTGATCAATTGGTAATAAAAGAAAATCTTGATTGTTACCACCACTATCCCAGTTTTAATATTGATTAATTATTTGTTTTACTCAATGTGGGCTGGCACAAATGGTGACTAATATCAGAATAAACGTGTCTGCAATGACATAAACTAACTTTTCAACCAAAATCCAATATAAAACATGTGATCATATTAAAGATATATATATATTCTGCATAATTTAAGACAAGTTCTAATTAATTTCTGAACTCAATCATAATCTAGTACATGTATATAGCTACAATCACTGAAACATATTGTCACTACAAAGTTGAGAAGGACATGTCTCTTACAGACCAAATGTACATGTACATACAGCTTGATACGGATTCACACATTCATAAGGACATTGTTTCAAAAAAGCTCTATTTGGCAGAAGCTGCACAACCAATTGAAACAGTTATGAACGGATAAGTCACAGAATTTAAATACAGACATTCCATGATATTGTCTGAGATAATATATTGGTAATTACATGTATCATTAACTTTTATATGCAATTATGTTTGGTGCATCAAATGAATGGACTTTGAAACATTTAAAACTTATTAGGCTTAAAAATCACTGTTCGCTAGACATGGATGGTTCAGTAAATTTTCTAGATCCACTGTGGCACATTTTTCTGATAAAAAATTTGTTTGCCAAAATTGTCTGTCCTAAGCTTAGGCTAAACATATTTTAACTACTTATGATTGCCTATGAATTTATAAAAATTTCTTAAATGCCCTATATTTTGTAAAAGTTTTTTGTCTCTGTATATCAACTATAGAACAATCCAGTCAAAAAACAAGCATTCTGTAAGTATTGCCTGGCAATACATAGTCCCCTACCGGCTAAAAATTCATTGTACTGGAACAAAATGCTAACTTGATCTATAACTTGTCATGGTGTAAACTTTATAACAAATATCAAGTCAATATCTTCAAACATGACAAAAAAAATGTGGAAAATTGATTATTTGAGTGAATTTTCTAAGTCCAAGGACCATAACTCTGCACAAAATCATCAGACTGAACCAAAATTCGAACTTGATCTGTAACTTGTCATGATAAATCTATATACCAATCATCAAATCAATATCTTTAAGCATGACAAAAAAAAAGGGCAGAAAACTGATTATTTGAGTGAATTTTCAAAGTTCAAGGACCATAACTCAGCACAAAATCATCAGACCGGAACAAAATTTGAACTTGATCTGTAATTTGTCATGATGAAACTATATAACAATTATCAAATCAATATCTTCAAGCACGAAGAAAAAAAGTGTGGAAAACTGATTTGCTGGACTGATGGACGGACGGAGTGCAAACCTAAAGTCCCCTTCGACTTTGTCGGTAGGGGACTAATAAAATTGTCAGAGCTGTCTGACTCAATAAGACCAGAGTTTGAATACAAATGTTATTATAATGCATACATCTGCCCTGCCTCCATCATTATCAATATGCTGTGCCTAAAGGGATTGTATGTACAGTTGTCAAGACTTCCACAACTAACAAAACAAAGCTGACTATAGAACTACGTGTTCTATGTCCTGACTGATAGGCTTAGCAAGTCTGTATTTTTTAACTATTAAACCAGTGCAAGACGGAAATTTACAGAGATTTCAATACCTGACTAGGAATAACTTATTCAAGTCTAAAAATATGTAAGGGACTAATAGTCACAGTAAAAATCAAACTGCAGAACATTCTATCAATAATTTGAGGGAATCCTGTTTTTATGTTTGGTTTCTAAACTTTTTTGTGATGTTATGAAATGTACATTCTATAAGATCATTTCAAATTTGCTAGCATTAAGCTTTTACAATGTTGGTGAATAAGGTATATAAATAGACTGAAAAAGTTGAAATGTTGTTCTATTCAATTTAAGTACTTAATGGACTTGTTTTAGACAGTACCAAAATAAATGGATTTCAAGAGTACTTTTTGACACGTTCAGTTCACAAGTGTCTTAGGTATAATATATTGCCACTCATTTACTATTTGTACAAAGTTTTACATTTACACCATCAAAGATAACATAATCTTGGCGAAAATTAAATAACTGCAAGAAAAACATGCAAATATGATAAAAGTGTTTTGAAACATACATTAAATCACTGCACCTCAAGCCATTTTGTATGAATAAAATATTACAATGTAATAAAATGTGAACTGAGTTCAACTGCTGCTTTCATGTTTGCTATTTAATGTCTACCTTCATCTATTGAAGAATTCAACCACTGTTTACAAATAAACAACATTCATTTTGAAAAAAACAAAACAAAACTTCTTCAGTAAAACTTTAAGCTGATTTGTGTTAAAGAACCATTGTTGTGGACGATATTAGTGGATACACTGCTACATGGACAGCAAAATGATGGTAGTAGATGTGTCATGAATAACATAACTATCGCCCATGATCCATCCACTTTAAACATGTACTTACATTCCCATTTGGCACATCTTTAATTATAAGAGTCTTTTCTCATATTTCTAACAATTGACAAAAACATGAGAAAAAGACTAGTCACCTTTCCTCATATTTCTACCAAGGAGAGAATAGAATAATAGAAAAATGAAAAAAGACTAAGGACTGTTCCATAAAAACATAAATGGGACCCAAGGAAGGCACTTTGAAATCTCAACTATGGGTGGGTGTTAAAATTATTTTGAACAGTGAAAATGTAATGGCATGTATGTTTTAATGGAACAGCCCTCATCACATTTCCTTATTATACAAAATGAGTCTTTTCTCATATTTCTACCCACTGAGGACAGAAACATGAGAAAAAGACTCATTGCATTTTCTAATTACAAGAGTTTTTTCTCATATTTGTACCAATGAGGAAGTTTAGAATGACAGAAATATGAATCACAGACTTCCTGAAATTCACCAAAGGACAATGCAAGAGGACATTTGGTCAAACTGCAATGATTCATTTAACAGCCCAGAACCAGTTTAACCAAACATTTGGGGGGAAATCTGGCAAACATAGACAGTTTTCCTGTAACCTGTTCTATTTTAAATCATTATATTTCCAAAGAATTTTGTGATTTTTGGACTCTATAAACATCATGTACATAAATAGTGAATTGAACAGGAAAAGGAAGTATGTACAATATTTAAGGTTCAATGAAAGTGGCAACAAAAACAATATTTACATTTGTTTTTATCCTGATTATGACTCCAAAATATGGGATCAGACATTTTGTTTACCTAACACTTCAACAGATGAGTGGCCAATATCTTTCTGCTTGCCTGAAATTATGATAGCATTGAAGTAAAAAAGAAATTTTATTCAAATCACTAATAAAATTGGATCAGTGTCTTCTGATGATATAAATGCTTAAAGGAGGACACATAACAGTTAATTTCAAATTTCCACAGAACTTACTCATCATGGTGTGAATCTTTTTTATAGTAACATTTATTTGAATGAGACTATCCAGACAGACAAGCAAATGAACCTACTAACATAGAATAAAAGCATGTTTAGCTGATTAAACAAGTTTTATCCTAACTTCACAATATCGATGTTATCCAATGAATTTTCCAGCCTAATAAATTTGAAGTCTATGTTTTGGCAAGGCTTTTGTAAGCCTTACAGTTGTTTAAATGCAAGGTATATATTATACTTAAGTATGCCTATCAATTTTCCAACCAGTATGACATGAACTTGAGGCAATTCATTTTTCACAATGAAGGTCAAAAACCTCACTGAATTCTATTCCTTATCAATCTTTGTCCAGACATCATAGGACAAGTCAGGGAAAGATCCTTTGTGTCAAGAATACTTAATCTTTATTCTTCTGTTGTCTTGTGCAGACTTTTTCATCACAACTGCAGTGATTTCAACACATTCATATAAGTAATTCTAAATTTCTAAAGAAAAATATGACATGTTTTTTGGTGGAAAAAAACTACCAGACATTTAAATACTGTTTTATCTTTCAAAGGCCTGAAAAATAACATGTGCACATGTTTTGAGCTAACCCAACTAACCCCTTTTGTCCATATCTTAAGTTTTGTTTTCTCTATTTCTGAAAAACTGCTGTTGATGCATGTCAGAATGTTTGGAATGTTGAGACTGGTTGAAATTCTAAAAACAATTTTTTTTCGTTCTACCAACATCAATTTTTAGAGCATTTTAATTAGCAAAAGAAAGCAATTTTAACAATACATGTACTAATATATAATATGGATTTCATTTAGATAAAAACTCATCAAAAATAACAGGCTTAAAAAATTTGTATCTAGCTACATTTACTTGCTGATAAAAAAACGAAATCAAAACTTTGTTTCTAATTTAAGTTACTAATGTATCAACCATGACAAAAAAAAAAGAATAAAACAATCAACTTTGGAATAAAGAATAATGTTCTAACTTCGGCAAAGACATGTTGAAATTCATATGAATGCATCTGTGGACTCATCTGTGGTGAGTGTGGCTTGATTTGCATGTCAGAGTCTAGGACTTCAGTGTGGACTTATCTTCTTGAGAACCCTACAAACTGTGAATTTCTGGGGGGGAAAGACTTTCTTCTGTAATATCAATGTTTTGATTTCTTCCATATCCAAATTTTCAAACAATTTTCCCTAAGTTTGTAGCTCCACAGAAATTTGTTTTCTAGTGTATACCTGTATGAAACAGTGAGATAACTGGAGTCAATTGTATGTATTAGCTTAAGTAAATAAATGTAGGAGAACTGTAACCTATGCTGGCAACAGAGAAATCTTGTTTCATATCACAGAAAACAGCACACAGTAGTGTTTGTCTTTCACAGGGGTCATGGTGAACTTGTTTGCAGAAGTTTACAGCCTTCAAGTTTTACTATTATACTTCAAATAAAGTTTTTGTATTAAATATCTTAAAACTGCGTTGAACATGTTCATGGCATCACACTCCCATAGTTCCCAATTACATGTTTTTTTATAAATGAGAATTTAAAATTTTAACATTTATTTTTCCTAATGGAAAAATGTCTTATCTAATGTTCACTTTTTCATTTGGATGTGAAGAGGAAAAGAGTTAAATGTTTTATATCATTTTATACATACATGTATGATACAGGCAATTTCTTTACCAAGGTTTTGTAATTCAGAACAATAATCTAAATCAATAAAACGTTCTCTCTTTAGAAAATGTCTACACGTCCCCTTTTTGGATTAGTTTTAAAAATCACATTCATGTACAAAACTGATGAGCAGAGTAAACAATAATATTCTATTCTTAAAATTTAATACCTTTGCAACTTCTAGAATGACATCTCTACCAATGGCCAAACCTTGCACAAATGTTCTTGCAGCAATAAAAGATCGCCTCACTTGGCTGGATAATTTTTGAGGAACAGCTCCAAAAGGTTTCAACTGGTCCATTTTGCTAGTCACACACTTAAGATAAACATCATCAAATTTATGTTGAACATTTAATAACTGGAACATTCGCCGCAATAAGTTTTCGAAAAATTTGTCTAATGTTGAAGTAAGGCTTTTGTCTGTTCCTTTATAATACTTCAGTAAATCTTCAAATAATTGTGTAAATATTTCTGCATTTTCTCTATAAAGTAACCCATATGTCTTAACAAACATTTCATGTAAGTCTTTCTTGGCATTGTGTAATAATTCTGTAAAAAATTCTGAAAAAAAAAATAAACCAATTAATTCCAAATGTATATTCTATAAGACAAACTTTATAAAAACACAGATGTACAGTGCAAAGATGGTATTAGTTAAAAACATTCATGGCAGTGATGTTTTAATAGTGAATCCTGGTGGCTGTGGGAAATTCAGTTTCAAAACTACTATTTACAAGTATATTCAATATATATTACACATTTGTGTATTAGAGAGTTATCACATAAAATCATCCCGTTTCAGTCATTTGATTTTTAAAACACCAGCAAGATGAGTTTTAACTGAATCACCTAAAGTGTACTGTAACTGAACAACTACCGGTTTACATTTCTACTAATTAAGCACAGACACAACTTTAAAGACTTGTCCCATGTATTTAAAGTGAAATGTACTTATACAATAGACCATTTTGTGAAATGATGCAAAGAAGATACGTGGAGGTGTTATAAATGTAATATGAATCCATTTTTATGCTTAAATTGACCATTTAACTTCGATTCTTTACTGGTATTAACTTGAAAGCCTGAGACATAAAAGACAGTAATAGCTATGCATTATAACTGTCCTAATAAAATGACTTAAAAGCTTTTATTCATTTTTTTTTATTGAATAGAAAAAAGAGAGTATTTGCTAGCTTTTATCTGTGTACCACAGTCTCCCCAAGCTTTTATCTGTGAACCACTTTCTCCCCAAGCAAGGCAACAGTAGCTTGTCAATCTTGAACATTATACTTTCATCCAGTGCAATTCGAAGACTTTTATCCCTATTGAGCATTATTAAAGTGCAAATAACAATGATCTTTATTATCTTCAGGCATTCAGAATGTTTTCATTTCAATTTCATTCACATATTTAGATTGTTCATCTTTGATTTATTTTGCACTTTGATGTACGTTTCATTGATCTACCTGATGCACATTTTGATCTGGCAGCTACAATAAAAACATGTTTTGATATCATTTGAGATAGCCTATCAAAATGCATTACTTGAGTAACAGGCTTTCAAAGCAAACAAAATATATGACGCAGATCAAATTCGAGTTGATCTGGCCATATAATTTATTCTCTTCATCTCACAAACTAAGTTTCAAATTTTTATGAAAGTAATATATTAACTCAGTACATTGTATAAATGCATACTAATGCATACCAGTTGCCTATTGAATTAGAAGAATATATATACATTTAAGCTCTGTCATATTTGCATAAATAATATAAGGTTGTCCTACCACTTATAGGAAACCTTTAAGCATGACAAATTGAAATCAGGGGTTAAGATTCTCTTTTTCTGCTAATACAATGGATGGATTGTCCGACCGAAGAAAATCCTCAACTCTCATTTAGGAATTCATAAATATTAAAATGAATTTTAAAAAGGCAATACACATATGTTGAAGAATGTACCCAGCAGTGATATCCTCCTTAAATAACTAAGATATCAAATTTATGTACAAAAGTGTCTGTTTCCAGGTCACATTTACAATTCATATATAGTGCACAAAGAAAAATTATTTTATCAATGGAAAATGGCTGAACATTCCAAAGTATTTTTTAACAAAGAGTTATGCAACATTTTTTTTTTGAACGTTTTGAAATTAAGATACATTTTAGTCCTGTACACTTCATCTCTGTTAAATAAAATAGTCCTATATACTTTCTTTGGTTAATAATATACTTTAAATAAAAAAAAATATTGTAAAAACTGATATGATTCACAAAAATAAAAAATCACATTTTAAATTCATATATTATAATTGCAATGGCATTATTAGTATGCAGCATTTACTCAAATCTCAATATTGCATTTGTGTCCATGCCATTATTGAACATAAGTGTTTATGGAAGAAAGGACACATGCAAATGTACAACTTAGGGCATATAATGCTCCTGTTGACATTTGGTTGATAAACTGTACATGTATGTAGTTATTCAATAAATGAATGATTCAGTAATTCATCAATGAACATGTAACCATGGCAGTGTTTCTACGGAAGTCCTTTGAATATCCAATGGTCAACCAGTGTCATTTCTTTAATCATTAATATTACATTACTCAGACAATGTCCACCTTTATTGACTTGTGATTGTAACAGATGACCATTATATGATATCATGATTTCTAATCGATAGGTATTTACTATAAGTTACTAATGTAACAGCTTTACTTAACAAAAAATTTCTCCTTAATTACTACATTTATTTATCTGTCTACACGTCTCAGCCAGATTACAGTTACAGATGTGGAAGGAGTAATTCTGTCATGGGTCTTCCACGGCTGTCTTTTCATAATGGCACCAAACCGTAAGAAAATTTACAGATTTTTTGGCATTGGGAAATCTACAGATGATGCTGGTGTAAGAAAGTTTGGCCTCGTTTCATACAATATGACTGTTAATTAGTTTTCCACCCTACCAACAGACATAATGATTTCCATTAACAGTTTGGTATTGCACAAAACCATTTAGCTGATTATTTTTCTCAGACTTGGGAGTTGATTAGCAGAAGACAAGTGAGGATAATTCACTTGCGACAACATTGGTGATAATCAACGATTTTTCCTCGATACATCTTTATTCCATTCTCAGAATGGATATCAGATAATCAAAAGATGGCTAGGTATCCTAATCCTTTTGTCAACATGGCTTATAGAAATATGCATCTTTGATGAAGACATGATCTATTATTTATTTACCTACCTTATTAATTACCAGACCTCAATAACACTTTCAACATCAAACAAACCCTTTATTGATTAGATAAGACACAAAGAAAGTCAAAAGATTTTTCTATATAATAAGGACTAAAGGTTATTAAAGTGAGAAACATATCACCTTCAACTGGGTTCAGATTTTCACATTCTACTGAAAAATGTAAAGAAAAGTTTCCAAGGGATTAACACAGTATTATATGTCTCTGTTAGCTATATAGCTGGGTAAAGATTTCCTAGGTTAATTCAGTGTAAATATGATTGAGCAGAATAAGTTGAAAATTGGTTGACAGTTTCTTTTATGTATACAAGCAAATAAAATACATTTTGTTGTACTTTTCTTGTAATATATCAGTTCTGTTTACATTGTTTCTGAGCAATTAAGAATGGAGAAACATTTACATTAGAACTACAATAGTTGGCAATTTGGAGCTCAACAGTTACTTGTTTATACAATTTAAATAGAATTGCCTTCTTGCAAGAAGCCAGAAAATTGGTTGAAAAATGAGTGACCATTGTTTAATGTACTATCAAGTAGGCTGCAATATAATAAAAGGGGGACGATTGAGCAACCCCCATCTAGATGTAAGTGAAAATTTCCAATATACATACATGTGTATATCTTAGACTCAGGACAATTTGTTTTCTTGACAGACATTTGTCTAAATTAAAAAATTATACATATACACATATACATGTATTGACCTCTAAATGTTGTTTGCTGCTGATTCATGGAAGAGTACCTCACATCTACTTTAAATCAATATCTAAAACTGATGCTTGTTAATGTTAGGATTTTCTAGATCTATGCAAATTAAAAATAAAGATGAGAAACAGACTGGTTGAAGGCTGGTATAGTACAATGTATGAACTGTTTTCTGATAGGGTCAGCATTTTCTCCATCAATAGTTAATGAAGTGGAAAGTCTGAATGTCTGATGCTTAAATCTGACATCAGAATAAAGATTTTGTCAATCATTCAACAAAAGATCAGGAAGAAGTCTGTGAAAAAAGCAAGAATTCAGAAATGATTTAAATGTTCATTTCAAAGATTAATCCATATCAAAACCATGTTCAAAGGATTTTGAACCTCTCATTTTTTTTCAATCATTGAACAAAGATCACGGAAACGTTTGTTTAACAAAGGCAAGAGGATTCAGAAATGATTCAAGTATTCAATTTTTATAAGTTTTCTACAAGCATTTTCTTTTTATATATATGACGGTTACATTTGTATCTTTCTCATGCAATTGCCTAGAAAAAACAACAACAAAAAACCAAGAACTTACCATCAAATTTTCTTGTTCTTGATACAAAAGTACTCTGTACATATCTAAATGACTGGTCTACTAAACTATCATATTCCTTGGCACTTAATTCACGTAATTTAATTTCCATGTCTCTTGTACAACATGTGTACCCATCTCCACGTGGACACACCTCTAAATGGTCTCCTGAAATCACATTATAGTATATATGTCAACAACTTCAGCTACAATTATACAGACCATTTCTTTTTTTTTAATATTGAATTCTGGATTAGTGTTCACAATAAGGTCAGTCTTAAGTTTTCCAGTTTGTACAAATGATGAAAATCATAATGGAAAAGATTTGGATTTTTGTGAATATTCTTCAGGTATGATGGGATCTCAATGAAAATGTCTGATATTGAATAAGACAAATTAATACATGTTCATGTACATACAGATATGCAAGTGACTGTAAATTTTTATTAATGCTTAAACAATGCAAGAGTGCAGCTAGAAATTTATTCAATAACAATGTAAAGCAAAATGATTCAAGATATACAATAGATAAGTAATACACATTTCAATAATTGTAAATAAATATGAGACACAAGTCAGGAAGAATTTAGACACAACAAAAACCCAGGTTTCAATATTAGAGCGCAGGAAATACCACACCCATTTCCCCTTTTCATATTAGTTTGAAATTACTATTTTAACCTAAAGCCAAATTCTTCACTTTCTTTCTAATTTTCACCATAAAAACAGGACAATCCATGGCCAGTAAAATTATTAATTAAAATTCTGCATACTTTGTCATAATTAATTTATCATTATGAATATTTTTCTTAAGGAATGCATTACATGTCTAATGAAAAAATGCATCCCATTTGAAAAGTGCATACCAGCAGTTAATGTACATGTAATTAATTGTCGTTCTTTTTCACAATTATGCAGATCTGAAACATGAATTATTACACCACGGAAACTCTCTACCTGAGTGATATACAACATACAAAGTACCGTGTTGTAACAATATACAAAAAGTAACAGGATTATTTACTTGCAATTAACAATCACACATTTTTGATAAGGTTCTAATTACTTTACAATTAACAAATTGATTGACCAAATATACATGTATCTTCATCAATCAATGCCTATGGCTAATCTTTAGACACCTGATAAGTTTTACTGATCAAAATATAAATTCTGACATTTCTATCAATTTCTGATCTCAGAGGTTATAAACTGATAATTTATCTTCAAAACAATGAAAATTATTTCATTTATTTATATGATTCAAAATTTGACTATTGTAACTTTTGTTTGTTCAAACTAATTAACTTCTTTTGTATGACCAGAAAAAAAGGTTCCTCTCGCCATTTTAAATCATTAAAACTGCCAAAATGTAACCTCTGTGTACATAGAAAAAAATACCAATAAAAAAACTGTTGTGCTGCCCTTCAGCATGTTCAGTAAAGTATATCTGGTATATATACTGATACAATGTTTAATTTATGGATAAGGAATTTCATGTCAACTTGCATGCTTCTGTTCCACTCAACCTTGTTAAGTAATGGCAAAAAAATAAACCTATAAACTTTATTTTAATAGACTAGACACAAATTTAACTTTAAAATGTTAAATTTAAATGTTTTACAACAGGTCAACAAGTAAACTGGAATCATTTAAATGCCTTTTTGCTAAAGAAAATGATTTTAAATTTTTTACAGCTAGTGAAGCGAAAAATTGTCTGCAAATGAGAAATTGTTAAAAGAAGATCTTGTCTTCTGATCATCTCATGAGGTCTGTCAAATACTATAGATAAGGATCTATGGATAATCCACCTTCAGGGAATTTTGACAAGTTCACAATCACTAGTCATAGTGTGACAAAATAATTACTAAATCTGGAACAAAGCTATGTACCATAATTACATGTAATACCATTTAACAGGTTTTTTCTGTAAATAGCCTTAAGTCATCGTAGATCACATGACACTCAGGGGTAATTTTTAGTATGGGATCAATTTATTATTTGAAATAACTGTAAGGTAATCAGGTAAACAATTTACAAGTCAAACTAAGAAAAATATTTAGTGACTTAATCCTTCTTTTTAAGTGCTACAGCTTTGATCTAGTATAAATAAGGACTTTTAGTATGTTCTTGTAATAATATTGCATTCTTAAATGTGCGAGATTTGACAATTTACTGTTTACTTCAAAGGAAAAAACATAAGAAAATCCATACTTATACTAAGGTGTCACAAAAATGTAGACATGAAATCATATGACATTCAAATGCTTTAGCAAATGACGACAAATTAAAATGATGCATTATTCTTCCTTTTCAACACATTGCATATTAATATAATTGTATCTGTTCATGACATGTAACCCAACCCAATTCTTTCTAAGTTTTTATCTGAAGGAATTTTGTTGAATAATACATATATATCCAAAAAATTTGTGGTCGGTTGTATAAAAATATTAAATCGAAATCCATCATACCTGTAAATAGCTTTGAAGTTCACTTACATTTTGTACAATCAAGTTTATTTAAGTTGAACAAAGCTACATTGCAGGTTACAACATTACTTTGCATGAAAAAAGTGTTTTTCTTCCATTAAATATATACATAATATTACAATGAATCCACTATGTTTGTTTTTAAATTTTGTAACCTCCCCTCCCTTGAGATATATAAATTCAGTGGGGTGCACCACAGACTACCAAGCATGACATAAACTAAGAAACCATATTGATCTAATATTTCTAAATATACATATTAAAAACACTTTGAACTATTTCATTGAGTTAGCTTCATTTGTTATATGAGAAAAGTATCAGAACATAGAGAAATTAATTTCATGATTTTGTCAATTTCTTACAATAAAATGGTTGATGTGGCATGTTTTGGGATGAGAAACAAATTTATTTCTTTGCCTTAATGACAAAGGGAAGTTTTACAGGGTGATCTGATGTCCACTTCAGTTCATAACAGCAGGTGCTTTAAGTAAATTAAACCTGTCAGATATGTGACCTGTAATTATCACATGTATTATACAATCCAGTGTGTCCCGTAAAAGGTTCACAATAGAAGTGTTACATTTTTTTACACCATCACTTTAGTCAATGATAACAAGCTAGGACCATGATATTGTCAATATCAGGTGATAATAAATACAAAATGTAAATTTGTATCATGTGAAAATTTGCATTGGTAATCAGGTTTATATTCAAAATACTAACAATTTATGCAAAAATGTTTTTCACACAAAAGCTGTCTAAACTATACATTGTAGGAACAAAAAGTTTTCAATTGGTTTTGTCAGACATGTACAATGTACTCTCAAACGGTTTGGTAATTTAGAAACTAATATCAATTATATACATGAATAAACAATTTAAAAACTGTGGAATGTGTAAAAAACACTTTAAATTATGGGAGGTGTACATGTATGATATGGTTTCCTCAAGTAAAAAGTTCTTCTGCATGTACATGTACATATTGAAATTTATGTTCATCTCAACTTACAAAAATACTCTTGCACATGCAGCAGATATGTACCCATGTATATCAAAATTCATAAATTTCATAAATACTTTAAAATTCCTTCAGATTAAACACAATGGGTCATTATCTAGCTAAATGTATAGACCAATAGACAAATTTACATGTAGTAAGAAAATGATTTACGATCTAGCCAGGGGTAAACAACACTGGGGTAGTGTTTGATGTTGTTGATTTACTCACTTTTTCATGGAAATTTTATGTGCTGATTACTGAACTTTTATTGTACTTTATTGTTAAAGTGATTAATACTATAATTTGTACCTGTCCAACTTAAATGGTCACTAGTAATAAAATGGCTTTACATTATAACCAATACTCAAATTAGCAAGATAAAAGCCAAGGCTCAATTTAACAAGAATGTAACTAATTACATGTTTGTGCATTCTGTACAACTTGTGTTATCATTTTAAACATGCACGAACAATGCACATTTAGAGATCCATTCAAATTGTCTATACTGGCAATGGACTCACCATCTTCCATAGCCAAGGGTTACGATCCAGTACTTTCCTCTGGATCGTAACCCTTGGCTAGCGAAGGTGTGGACTCACCAAAATTATCAAGTTCTACATTATGGAGGAACTTCACAATTTATTATAGAAATTTTTGAAGGTCTGGTCAAAATAAAATGCAAAAAGTACCAATAATATTTTTTCATAATTTTATCTAAAACTGAAAGTTTAAAACTTTTTTTGAAAAAAATATACTGACAATCTTAAACTAATGATGTAATAACTGACACTTAATGGAATGAGGCATTATAACACCAACTTTTGATCAACTGGAAAACCAGGTCGTTTCATACTTGTTAACCCATCCTAAAATAAGACATAATTGCCCTCCCTGGGAAGATAACATTTTGGCCATTTCCTTTCAGACTTTAAATCATATCTTGAGACACATAAAGAGGATTAACATTAAACAGTATACGCTTTCATGTAAAAAAAAGTTTGCTGTAGGGGAAACATTTCTTCAATTCTAATTGTAGACTTACCACAGAGCATATAGTTGTTAAAAAAATTTCAAATATTTTAATGTTAAGACCTGTAAATGGTAAGGTCTCAGTGAAGACTTATTAAATTTTATTTGTATATATGGTAAATACTTACCTCACATAATGACATATATTTGTTTTTATGTACTAAATTAGTAAATAAGGAAATTAAAAATAGAGAAATTTAAGTGTTATAAAGCAATACATTGGTTTGTGATGTATGATACTTGTCGACAATTTGTTTACTTAGTTTAAGATCTGGTCTTTGTGAGTGTAAATTTTGGCAATGCTGTTGATGTTAATTTTTGTGGAATGAATGAATGAAAACACGTGTTTAGTACCTGAAATCGCCTGAATGGGAACTTCATTTTCATTTCCTCCTTTTTCTGTGTAGGCTCTTTTCACCTCAATACACGGTAAACTGTTCAAACAATTAGCACACGCGATAAAAAACGTCAGTACACACCAACACAACCCTTGATTTACTGTCAGTTTGGCGGCCATTATATTTTTTCCGACAAAAACAAAAGATTTCTGTATATACACCTTACATTAGAACAAAAAGTACACAATAATAATATTAAAACATAAAGAAAATCACTGATTATTTATCCATTAATTTGAATTTTTATGTAGTAATCCACATTTTAAGCCGAATCATTATCCCGTTACTCAGTTGTGATGATCATCTTCCATATCTGTTTACCAGTCTGCTGTTCCGTTGAACTCCCCCGGCAATATGTACATAAATAGCCACTAGGAGCTGTCAAAACAATCAGAATTGATATGTCATTTTTAATTTGATCACCAAAAGATAAAAAGCGAACAATGAAAGACAAATGGAAATATTGGTTTTCTGATTCTTCGATAAAAAGTGATATATTCAAAACGTAAAAAAATGGGGTATCAATTGGAACAGCTCTACTTCCTTCTCAATGAGTGTATTAAAACAGCTGATGTGATTGGTTGTTTCACAAGTAGTGGCATATATTATAAAATATTAGGTCATCGGTGCCAAGTTATAAAAGAGAGAAAAGTGTTAGTTTAGCTCAAAACATATAAAACATCTTAAATCTTTGTGATTTTTTTTCTTGGTTGAATAAAATATTTGCAAAGGGAAAAGGTTGAAACCCCGAAAATGATAACTGAAATCTGATCAAATCTAGCTAAGCTGGGACCCCCTTTAAAGGATGTTTAATATATAGTAACAGAAGTCCATTACTTGGGCCCAATAGTAATGGACTTCTGGTATATATAAATCCTTGCTGGAACTCAATTTAAAAAGAAAAGGGAAAAAAATCAGCTGTCGTAAGGAAAATCATAGCCGCTAGTCAATGTTTCTGAGTTGAATTCAACAATTTACCACGACATTTTGTTGCGAATAATATCAATATGCTATTCAAGGATTCTTAAGTCGTATTTAATAAAAACCAAATAATTTAAATATACCCTACACGATCCGAAATTATGGACCATGTAGCCATGATCACAAATCAAATCTGTTATGCATAAATACATACAAGGTTTAATACATATATTATAAAAATATGTATTTAAAGAAATAAATACTCAAACACTTCATTAGAGAAATTGATTTTTCTTCTCCAATTAATCACAAATTTTAAGCAGGTAAACTGGTGCTAAAATATTCCCATCCTAAACTAACTCTTAGAAGGATGGTATTGATATTTGCGAGAAAACATTTTATAGATAAAAACAAAGCAGGATTATATATAATATAAACATTTTCCTCTGAAAAAACCCCAAAACAAAACAAAACGAGAAGAACAGGAGGCATGAGGCCACAGGAGCATGTGTAATAATAAGTTCATAATATACATGTATAATGTTACCACGCGAGCACCAACATATTTTTTACTGGTCGTATATGAATGTTACAGAAGCACCAAAATGGTCACTGCGCCTTACGGTACTTCACTTCTGAGTTGATTTTTTGTTGATGCCATACATAATTGACTCATAATTGTAAGTGTTCATTATTATGCAAAAATATCAATTTAAAAAATAAATTTCTGAAATACGAATAAAAATTGGGTTATTTTGTTGATCTACTACCAACATATTATGAAGATGACTTTATATTACGCAGCAATCTAGACTTTAATGCTGAAAAATAGCATAATACAGAATTAGAAGTTGTAGCTGTAGCACAATAACGGTAACTCTTCGTAATAACAAAAATTTAAATGCAAAGGGAGTTTACTGTTTCTAAATTGACCATCATACACTTTCATTATCTCCATAAAAAGCTTTACTATATGAGTTCCAGCTGATATTTTATAATACATTTTAATATATTTTTGCGTCTCTTAATTGTGAATATCTCTCTCTCTCTCTCTCTCTCTCTCTCTCTCTCTCTCTATAAAATTGAGAATGGAAGTGGGGAATATGTCAAAGAGTCAACAACCCGACCAAAGAGCAGACAACAGCCGAAGGCCACCAATGGGTCTTCAATGCAGCGAGAAAATCCCGCACCCGGAGGTGGTCCTCAGCTGGCCCCTACATATAAACGCCTAAAAAGTGTACAAAACAACACCAATAATAAAAAAAGGAAACATTAAATGTAATTATCTATAATATTTCGGATAACAGATATCCTTCATTAGTATGATTATGATGTAAAATGACTCATATCAATCTATTCTGGTTTAACTATAACAATCTTTAACTTTATACAATTAAAACCGAACACAACAACGCATGTACAATTCTAAAATTTCAAAAATGTCGTAGGTTAGGTATTTACAACAGAAACAGCATAGATATGCTTCTAACAAAATAGTAATGTGCGATATGAACTGGTACAGTTCTAAAATTTCACAGGTGACGAAAGGTAAGATATTACAACAAAGACTGCGTAGAAATACATTCCCAATGAACAGCACTGACCGATTTTGAACAGATATATCATGTTATGGAGGGGTATTTGCGAAAAATACCAGTCAAGGGACGGTGAAATTTCCCAAGCCGCTAGACGAGGGAAATTTGGTCCCAAGACTGGTACTTTTCGCAAATACCCCTCCTTAACATGATATATCTGTTTAATTACACCGAATAGATTGTGATTGAAACTGTCTGTACTTGTGAAGGGAAATCGAAGTACCGCGGGAATTATACATTTACTTATATGCGTAAGTGCCGTCTTTTCGTAACGTCATGCATGGTATCTATATGCGTAAACGTCATTGTTATTCATAACTAAATCGTTCATTTGTATAGACATTTTCCCCCTCTTTATATGTATATTTCTGACAGTTTTCGGTTTAACCCAATCAATAGTGCTTAACCGATGTTGTCGGGATAAAGTGAGAAAGGTTCCGAATAATTTTGGCGGGAACAGGCTCGCGAGGGTAAAAAAGGAATATCCAAAATGCAAATACCACGACAGAGAGGGGAATTTGAGGCAAATTCACCGGCAGCGGTGAAAAAACAGGCAAATTCGTTTGAAATGAGGAAAAAATGTTAGAATATGCGAAAAATACACTGGCTAACAACCAATCAAAATCCGGCATTCTTATATAAGGTGTAATTAGACGGCTGGTATAATACTCAAATTTCAAATTTGACGACGGTAAAGTAATTACAACAGAGGCTGCGTATTTACACATCCCAAATAAATAGTAGTTTGATAATGATTAAAAAAATTTAATTTTGACAGAGGGTAAGTAAATGAACGTGGCTGCGTACTTATACATCTCAAATGAATAGCACCCTGCGATTGAAACTGGTATAATTCTGAGTTGACAAAGGTAAAGGAATAGTAAAAGAGACAGCGTATTAATATGTAATATAACCCATTTATTAAAGCGCATACCTGAGCAAGCGTCTCCGTGAAGAGTAATAGACTATTTGCCATGGGATAGAGTGAATTGTCTCCCTCGTATTAACCAATCAAAATCTGGCATTTTGACATTAAGTATAATACTATCCCATGGCAAATACTCTATTACCCTTCACGGAGACGCTTGGGCTTTAATAAATACGGATGATTGTTATGTACAAGACGACACATACGGTTTATTACTTTGAATTTGAAATTTAATAGACAGTAAAACAGAACATTCAGTATAATAAATTAAATAACACATATCTGCATGATGAGAGAGTGATAGAGCAGATTGTTGCCCCTCGAAACGACATTGTCAACCTTGGCTTCGTCTCAGTTTACAATGTTTTCTCGATGTAACAATCTACTCTATCACCCTCTCAGCTATGTGTTATCTATATAATATCTCATTTATAAACAGGTCACCAAATTATAAACACCTGAAGACAACCCCAAACCGCAGTTTTGACAGATTTTGACTTTTGAGCATTAATGCAATTGTATAAAAGGACATCGTGAAGCAAATCCAAAATTATGTTTGAATCAAAGCTATTTATAACTTCTTTCGAATAATTTTTGACAATTCCAACAATTAGCAATATATATACACCCGATTTGGTTGTGATAGCTTAAGTGTATTTGACTTCTAAAGCTTTTGGTCTTCCGTGCATATTCATATCCTGTGCACTGCGAGCTATCGTACGGTTAAATCACTGCCACTGGATTGGACCGAAGTTGTCAGTTCCTGTGTGTAGCACTGCATAATGAGAAAATTACAGTAGGTGTTTAATTCATGCCAATGCTATTCGTATATTGGCTAAAAGACGAATTTAATTAATTTGAAAATATGAATAAAAGATATTAAATATAACAATAAATCATTATACTATCATACAGATTTATAAATATTCATTGAAATTTAATAAATATTGAACGAACAAGAAATGTATCTACTTTGAAAATCAGAAATCGACTTCTTCATTATGCCAACATCAACTGTATGACGTATAACAATTGATTTTACCTGGAATGATTACGCTTTCATCTCACTAGACAATATTTCGCAGATGTTTTGTTCTTCAAGTTTTACTCTAAGATTCTAAATGTCAAAATGAATGCTGTGTTTTTGAAAATTAAATGAAGCAAGCTTAAAATGTAATGGTCACTTAATTTCATTTCGTATGAAAATTTTCAGCACGAGTGCACACGTTAAAATGTCTCGCCTGCTTTACTTATCATTTAATTCATGTTGAAAGTCTATAATATGAAGGTTTTTCTACAAGTATCACATAATCATAATACTATCAATGTTCTATGCAAATGAGGTCACCGTCAAATGAACCATACCAGACAGACATGTACAGACATACAATCATTCTTTGCACCTAATATAGTGGTCATATCACTAGATAGTACCTGGAAACAGATCAAACCAGAAAATCTAAATATTAACCAATGAACCATGAAAATGAGTTCAAGATCATATGAACCCTGCCACAGACACTTACAACTTACAATCCTTCCATACACCAAATACAGTTGACCTCTTGCTTATGGTATCTGAAAAACTGACAAAATTGCGAAAACTTATCATTGACCAATGAACTATGACAATGAGGTCAAGGTCATATGAACCCTACCAAACAGACATGTACACCTTACAATCATTCCACACATCAAATATAGTGGCCCTATTGCTTATAGTATGTGAGAAATAGACCACACCACACAATTGTCCAGTGAACCATGAAATTGAGGTCAATGTCAGAAAAAAACCTGCCAGTCAGAAACATAAATTTACAATCATTCTATACACCAGATAAAGTTGACATAATGCTTATAATATCTGAGATACGGACTTGACCACGTAACTATAACCTTGATCACTGATCCATGAAATGA